CAGGCGGGCAGGGGACCACACAGACAGAAGCATTGGCCTTCCTGCTCCGCCACTCCCAGGCAGGAGGAATGGCAGGAGAGCAGGGCCGCCGAGCCTGCTCCACGTCTCCCTCCCACCTTACCTCTGCCAAGCTCATGGCTGGCCTTCATCCTCTTCTGCTTCCAGAAGCTCTGCCACCTGCCTGATCCCTCCAGCCACCTTCCTCGGATGGCCCACTGTGCCATTAGAGCCCTGTGATTAAAAGCACAGGCCCCGTCCTCTAACTTCCTGCACCATCACCAACTGGGCTTTGAGGTCTGAGCCTCAGTTTCCTCATCTGTAAAACAGGGGGTAGTTTCAGTTCCTACTTTATGAAATGGTACCCAGCGTGGTGGCTGCACACAGTATGTGCTAGTATTCACCTAGCCCCACCATTCATAAAGGAATAGTGGGGGGTGCAGTGGGGAAGGGTGGAAAGGGCCGGGGCATGGGAAGGGGAGGGCTGGAAGAGGGCAGCAGATAGCAAGTGTGGTGCAAGGGGAGACTCAGGCCAACCTTAGATCCAGGGTCAAAGTGGGGGTCCAAGTTAGACTTCAAATCTTCCCTGTCCATAAAGAGTTCCAGGCCCATGAGCCAGATGGGGCTTGCAGGACTCAGCCCCAACAAAAGGCTATGGCTGGGGGTGGGGTTCTGAGGGAGATGGGTGCAGAGCTGGCTGAGGGGGAGGGCAGGACACAGAGGTCCCCGCTACAAGAGTGGGGGAGGGGGTGCTGGGAGGGAAGAGAAGGGAAAGGAGTCCCAAAAGAGGGGAGGTGCTAGAAGGGGTGAGAAGAGGGATTTTGGAGGAGAGGTGGGTCCTTGGAGAAAAGCTGCACTTGGGGGAAATGGGGCAGAGATGTTCCCATCTCTGGGGTCTGGGAAGGGAGTGCAGTCAGGAAGCTGTGTGGCAAGAGCCTGGGCGGGAGGGAAGGTGGTGGTGAGGTGGGAAGGAGCAAGGTTCGCACAGGCCTCTCCTCGTCCCCAGCAGCCCTCCCCGGGGACCTGCTCTGTGCTGAGCTGACCATGCCCCCGTAAAGCAGTGAGGGAGTCCATCCCACCTCGTGCGGCCCTGGCTTTTGGTGGGGCAGCCGGCTGGCAGAGACATGGACCACAGTGTTCCCCGCCTGGCATCTGTGGGCCAGAGGGCCCGGCTCCCCAACACTCCTGCATGCCAGCCTGCTGGGCAGCGGGTCACCCTTGGGTGGTTGCCGAGCTGTCCCTGTGGTGAGGCCACCCCTATGCAGCCCCACGGGTGAGAGAGCGCTGCTCGTGGTCCTTGGGAGCCAGCGGACAGTCTTCCCAGCAGTCATTTGGCAAACGCTGGAGGGGTCCCGGCTCCACCCTCTCTCAAGGGTGAGACAGCCCTGCTTGGGGGGCCTGTCTTAAGGGTCACAAACTGACTGTGCCCCATTTACCCACATAGTCTCATATCATGCACGGGCCCCCCTCTGATGTCTGACCCAGACCCTGGGGGAACATGGTCACCCCCCTGGTTTCACCTCCAATGGGGCCACATTGTATGAGACTCCGCAGCCCTGGACTGCCAGGGGTGGGAAAACCCAACCGGGCTGATTAAGAGGAAGACAAACTGGCCTACTAATAACTCACATGCTCCTCCTCAGCAGTAAGTGCCCGGGGAGTGAACTTCCTCATCCCCGCCGTGGAGCCACTCCTGCTGCACAGGGACACCGGACTGTAGGAGTTAATACTGGTACAGACCCCAGCACAGCGCCTAGCAGAGTCAACAGTTGATACAAGTTAGCTCTAATTATAAAAACATGTTGAAAAGCAGACGGCCAGGAGGTGCGTGGTGGTGGGGTGCAATGGCCTACAGCAGAGTGGGGGCCGCGGACTCCGGGAGCCTGGCTGTGGTCGGAGCGGGAGGCTGTGTTCCAGCGAGCCCTCCCAGGGCTGTGATGCTGGCGCCCGCGAGAACTCCTGGCCTAGGAAGAACCTCTGGGTGTGAGCTGATGCGTCTGGGGCCTCAGACAAGCTGGCTCACACAGGGAGGACGCTCCCTGTCCCCCAGCCTTGTTGCTTGGGAAGGTACCTGCGATGGCAAGGCCCTGCTCCTTCTTCTGTTTCAGAGAAGAGCCCCAAGTCACCCCTAGAGAACAATTGTTGGGGACTGAGGGTGGCCCCAATGAACCCAGGTATATCCCACCATCCCTATGGGAACCTGCACAACGGGCCTGGCTCTGAAAGAAGACTGGTGGCCTTAAGAGACTAACCCCATGACCCTCTCACCTGGTAGAGGAGGTGAGGGTACCGGGCCTGGCTGGCTGTCACTGAATTTGAAAAATTAAACTTTAGGAGTGAACACATTGTAAGATCAATGGAGTGGAGAATGGAGTGGAGTGATGTGTAATTTCTTTTGAGAGACCTACCTGCTAATAAGCAGGAGGAAAAAGGTCATCATTCCTGTAAACTGACAAGAGACACCAGGGTGGAGACATTCACTACTGTCTCATTAAAGATTACCTTACGGGAGGAAAACATTCTTGAAACTTTGACAGAGAATCTGGTAACACCACCTAATTGCCAGGAAACACAGAATTACCACGATGACACTATAGAGCCTGTTTATTGCATAACTAGCAGGCACAAATTCCAAAACGATTTTACAATGCTTACAGGGTTGTACAGTAATTACAGGGGTAGAATGTACAATAGACACAAACGGTACATAATAATGGGTGACGTGGATAGAACACATTTGAACAAAAGGCATTTCGTTTTTCCTATGCAGCATCTTCTTTCATAAAAACAAGGGTGCCTTTCACGGGGACAGAGACGGAAGGAACAATCTGGGATTGGAGAGCTCACAGCCGCTGTGGACAGACACACGCTCGTCTCGCTCTTGGTTCTGCAGCTTCAGTCATTGGAGGAACGGGAGAACAGCTCCCGAGGTGTGCGTCTGTGGTTCCAATTGTATGAAATGCCGTATTTGATCTTTGGGCCCGATTCCCTGTTCTTTGGCAAATAAGAACTATTTGCGTTCCGAGGCAGAGGAGAACTTCAGCTAAAGGAGCTTCGGGGTGGAGCGGTCTCCTTCGGCAAGTGCCAGTTTCATAAAGTGCACCTCCGTCCTATCAGCTTGTGGCGTGGGGACAGGGGGAGATTGGAGAACTAAGAGTAAAAAATGACTTTAGAGAACGTGGGCATTAGTGCAAGGCTATGGAACACATGTGCAAAAGGTGGTGAACGGCCGTCCAGACAAGGTGCCACTTGCCAATGGGACTGGGTCTCAGAAAAGGTGGAGGAAATGTGAAGGGCAGCAGAGGGAGGCATCCCACTCCATCCAGAACTTCTCTCTCGAGTGTTGGCACTGTGCGTTCTCAGAGCAAACGTCTGTGGTGCTCTTAAAATTGGGGGTGCTCTCTGGTCCCCACACTCCTTTTCTCTAGGGGCACAGAGACAAGGTCCTCTGTCACTCATCCTTGAGTGTTCCAGAGAGGACGCTGCTGCACCCCCTGCAGACGATTCATTTAGAAGCCTGTCCTCCCCGGGAGGCCGAGGCACCAACTCAAGACGGCCACTGGGCCTTTCCTGAGGCCCCTGCACGGGCCCAACAGGAGGGCAGGTGTTTGCAAGAAAGAGGAGGAGGGACAGCTAAGTAAGTACGTGTGGCATGCAGACAAGGTTATCAGATGGTGCTTGAATTTAAGGTAGAAGGCATCCCCTCAGCATCCAACAGGAACATGGCACTTAGGACTGTGCAGACAAGTGGATGAGTCTTTTGGAGATGTGGACCCTTTCCCCACGCTACTCAGTGTAGCAAAATCCGGCAAAAGCATCCACACACCAGGACTTAGTAAACCAAACACCATCACGGTGCTTCTTCACAACAGCATCCGGTCAAGCTATAAAGATGTTTGTGAGTCAAACAGTTCTGTGAAAATACAGGCTTATTTAACACATATTTAGGCAACTGTGATTACTTCGACTTCCTCACGTGTATGAATGAGCACTATGGGACAGAATATATGGGTAAGATGGGGACTAAAAGCGACCTGACACAGGGTAGGGGTGGCCAGGGTACAGGTAAGGCTCGGCAGTAAGGCAGGTGTGGCCTTCCTGCTGCGGCTGACAGGAGCCCCGGGCAGAGACTCTGGGCTGCAGCCTGGAGGCCATAGCTCACCCACACGTGCCGTGACAAGGTTTTGTCGCCGTTTATAAACAGAGAAATGGCACAAAAAAAATCCGTATTTCTGGTGTCTCTTAAAAACAACAACAAAGCTCTGCCAACCCCGGGCCCTCTTTTCCACAAGGCAGCCTGGGTGGAACTGGGGAGCTGCTGTCCCTACTGGCTGTGCCACTTCTCCCCCACGGTCCCCTGGCCCTGCTCTGTACCTGGGCCACTTCATTCATCTCCATCGGTGCTGCCTGGCCCCTCTGGTCCACAAAACTGCGCAAGAAGCAGGGACAGGGATAGGCTTTAGCATTCAGAGCAAGAAAGGTCTTTTTAGTAGTTTAAAAACCAATGTCAGTATGTTCCAGAACTTAAACCTGTACTTTTGTAGTTTTGGGATAGCTGGCAGTCAGCTAGAGTACTCTCTGAGGAATTCGTGAAAGATGAGCTCTAATTTTTAAGTACCAGCAAGGTAATGGAGGAGAAATCATACTCAGACGACTGTGTAAGCCTTACCTTATAAGAAGTCCTTAAAGGTGATGAGATGTGCCAAACAGGCCGTGTGAGGAAGCTTTAAGTGGTTAGAGAAACCGAGTTCTGGGAGAGAGATACATTACCACGTCAGGGAGTAGGTGATTTCTCTTCCCACGGTTTATGGCAGTGATATCTGAATGGGGTGGCACAGAATTAGTTAGGGCTTGTGGGACGTGACTCCTCTTTGCCGCACATCTGGAATGACACATCTGGTTTCCGCAGGAAGGTGGAGCACTGAGCCGTGCATGATAACGTGGCCTCGCTCCTACCTGGACAGGGCCAAATGACACGTGACGTGGGGGATGAGTGCTTATCTGGCACCACGGAGACCTCAGGATAATGGTAAAAGACACAGAGGATCCAGACCGAAACATCAAATAAAAGAACATCTAACAAGATAAAACAGTTAAAAGCAATGGAGCAGTTCATTGTTTCCTTCCAAGAGAGATAGTTATACTACTTTTAGAGAGGGGCAAAGTCCTTTCTCTATATCCATGTTTGGAGACACCCCAAACTTAAGAGATTTTTGCACTAGGGCTGGAAAATTCGCTTATTGCACAATGCTTGCTAGGGAACAGATGAGGTGGATTTTTTTTTTTTTTTAAACCCAACTCTCTCCAGAAAATATTTCACTAAAAATCTCATTTATAATTTTAACCCTAAACAGGCAGTTTCAAAGGGATGGAAAAGTTCTAACAAACTTGAAACAATGAAACTATGCATTTGGATGACTATGACCGTCAACTCAACAGCACAACAGAACATCAGAGAGGAAACTGGCAAACAGGCACAAAATAAGGCAAGTGGGTTAAATTAATAGTCGAAAATTTGTTAGAAAACATGCAAAAATAATACTGAGTTTTTTAAAAAAAGTTTTAAACTTTCATTAAATGTTTGTTTCTGTAAAAAGTGGCAGAATTCCACAACTCAATTTGAAAGTGGACTTTAAAAAGCCTAGAAAATGCAAGGGCCGGCACTGAGCTGCTCAGTTGTTGTTCTCTTTGGTGGTGATGGTGACCAGCTGCTTGGCGGCCTTGGCGATGTCGTATGCGCACTGGATGACCTGCTGCGTGACCAGCTGGATGTCCGTGGGCGGGCCGGGGTCCCCGGGGAGGGTCTTCTTGCACTCTGACTGGAGTCGGTAGGCACTGGATGTCAGCAAGCGCAGGGAAGTCCTCACCGTGTCAGACTTGGGTTTCTGAACAGAAGAACACAGTTGTCTGTGTGAGCTGCGCGGTGGACACCCAAGAGCAGGGACAAAAGTTCTTGTGAGGACAGCTCAAGCTGTTCCACGGTGCACGGCAGTTTCGTCGGGCCCTTTCTCAGTGGGGGTGCTCGGGACACGGCAAGCTGTGCGGCCCACAGCGTGAGAGATGCCCAAAGTGCTCGGTCAAAGGTCAAAGTGTACGCAGTGTCATTTTAGTAGGATATCCTATTCTGAGGTGGTTTTTGAAAAACAGTAGTAACCCACTCGGGTGAAATATTCCAGATACAATTTTATTCTATTAATGCTTTGCCTTTTAGCACTGGGCTCACACATTCTTGTCTTATTAAAACCAATATTCATAGGGGTGCCTGGGTGGTTCAGTCGGTTAGGCGTCTGACTTTTGGTTTCAGCTCAGGTCATGATCTGATGGGTCCTGGGATGGAGCCTCGAGTCAGGCTCCTCACTCAGTGGGGAGTCTGCTTGAGATTCTCTCCCTTTGCCCCTCCTCCCCCACTCTCATGCACATGCGTATGCACTCTCTCTCGAATAAATAAATCTTTAAAAAACAACAAAAAAACCCCACCGATATTCATGTAGAACAAAGTGATTTCCATGTCCTCTATAACGGCATATTTAAAACTTGTGCTAAAAAAAGGTTAATATAATATCAAGGATCCTGAAAAAATTTCTTTCAGTTCATTTAAAAGGATCTGAACCAAGTAAGTAGGAAGCGACTTACTTTGGGGAATAATGCTGCCATTTCAGTAACAGCTACGTGTATCCTCTCTGAGCAGGGGATATAGCTGCAAGAATATTGAAGAAGTTATTCAAAGACAGCAAAAGTACAAAGTACTGCAGAGATGGAGAGTACTCAGGGGCCAGAATGCGCTCCATTTATATTCCCCCAGGGAAGGGGCTGAGGCTGCCGCCAGCCCACTGCGGATGCCACGCCAACAGGAGCAGGGTCCCCATCCTTTCCTGAAAGTTCATTCAATCTGCTACAAACAGTCTCCAGGTATGGAATGTGGACTAGCCAGGGGAAGCCACAGCCAGCCAGCCAGTCTATGACAACACTCATACCTCTTCCAGTGGGTCATTTGGTTCTCATGTGCTTCATCTTTCTCATTTCTTGAGAGAGAAGCAAGGACTTCCACACAGAGGCCACAGAACTTAAAAATAGTCCTTAAAATTAGAACTGGAGCCTATATCTCGACACGCACATGTTGGTTAAAACCGATGGACCTCTCTCAATTCCTTCTATTCAAATGCATCTCAACTGCTAGGGAATCAAAAAGCTTTACTTTGGGTAAAGAGAAAACAGAGGTCCACGCTCGTACTTGATCACTTACGCACTTTCTCATGAAGCCGCCGTGACTCTGCTTGTAACCAAAGGCTAGGAGTACAGCCAGCACTTTCTATGCTTGCTTAATGAGCTCTGAGAAGACAAAGTGCATGGACTCTGCCTGTCCTCGCCCTTTCCTCCAGGCCACCTGGCATCCTCAGGGCCCCCGAGATGACAGTTGAGAGCTGAGGCTTCAGGAGCACTGATGGAGTGAGAGCTCTGTTCCCATTTTTCAAAAGGGGAAACTGAGGCCTGGAGAAGAGGACGAGTGTCCAAGTTCCCGCAGCTGGTGAGAGAGCCAAGCACACACCCAACTGTCCAGCACCCGAGCCTGGGCCCCTCAACGCCACACCACCGGCCTCTCCTGCTATCAGAGACACAACAGCCTCACACCTTCCTTTAGAGCAGGCCTCTTTTCATTCGTGACTGGTGACTCTGACTTCTTAGGTGAGGAAAACCGCAGGAACAGAGACTAGGGCTTCACTCAGGCTTCTTATTCTTGGCACTGTGATGTGCAGCATATGGGGCTGGTTCTCTGCACCTTCAAAATATTAGGCTTCCGCCCTGAGTAGTATGTGTTATGAGGTCAAGAGACAGAGACACACTGAAGATGGGACTGAGCAACAGTTCTTGGCGAGCACGCTGCCACCAGGTCTGGGTTCTGGTTTTAGGACAACTGACCCACAGAGCCCAGGGGGGAAATGGGATATGAGAAAGCTTACTAGCAGCCTGTTTGTGGCATGGTAGGAAATATGGTGTGAATACACAGGTGTGGCCTTCCACAAGCACCCATGTGGCTGTGTTTTAAACTTTCCCTTCCAAGACAGGAATGAAATCTTGTTCGGCATCCAGCTTTGCACTTAAAGCCCTCGAGTAAAATTCTTTCTCCATTCTTTAAGTCATAAAGTTGGCTTCTGCTTAAACACTGTCATAATAAGCAACCCTGTATTTCATCTTTGTAAGAAATCTAGTCTCAAAACTATTTTAATTAAGACTGGCTACATTTTAATTAAATCACTGTATCTCAAGAAAGTGGTTTTTATATTATCCCAAAATACCTTCAAATGGGCAATCCTGACTTCTACCTTTGTGAGCAATTAAAACCATACTCCACATGGTAACAAAAAAGCCAAGGCAGAGGGAGTCACTTCACCTGTGTATGAAGGGGCAACAACCCATCTGGTCACATACTCAGGGAAAAAGGTTATGTCTATGGCAACCACTGTCTCAGGCATAAATCTTACTTGAATCAATGTGTCCATTAATAACACGTTAACAGAGAATCACACCTGAGAGTTTTTTGCTCACAGTTTTCATTTTGAGCCAGAAATGTAATTCCACCTTCCCCCTGCTACACAGAAGACAATTTTCCTAAGGACACCTCCCACTCACTCACTCAGTACGGAATACTTCAGGCAGTCCCCAGTGAACCACAAAAGCAAGCACATGCAGATTAATGAGAAAGTCGTCCTCCTCACTCGGGGGGAGTCCATGTTCACAACTTCAAGCTGTTATCTTTCCTCAAAAAAGGCTTTTGTGCATAATATGTAGTACTCCTGAGCTGTGTGACCGTGTGTGCATGCATGCCTGTATGAGAGAGAGACAAAGACAGGCAGGGAGTGGGGCTGGAGGCCCAGGGGAGGAACCAGGCTGAGGCAAGGTCAGGGGCTGTGGGCAGCTCGCCCGGCTCAAGGCACCAGGGCAAAGCCTGAATGTGTCTGCGCAGGCTGCTGGTCTACTTAGGATGAGTGTAAGCGACAGATGAACAAGAGGAGAAAACAAGAGGAAAAGGAATGGGTTTAATCACTACAATGCAAAATTATAAAGTGTCTTGCACATGTAAGTAACCAGAGATTTTAGTAGAACACTGAACAATTCATAAAACATAAATTCTCTAGATCAATTCCGATTTACACTGAAAGAGTGAACTAATGATTAAACTCTGCATCGTTCTCTCATGTCTTAAAAAAATCAGACTGTAACGCTTTTGAATGGGTTTGTACATCTTAAAAAAAAAAAAAAGAAAAAGAAAAACAAGCACCTTATTGTGATCTCTGAGGCCACAAATGGCCTCCAGGCAGATATTTCTATTTTTGACAACTACCAAAGACAACAATGGAATGTAAACATTTTTTTTTTGTTTGTTTGAAATACAAGCATGGCACTTCAGAACTGGAGTAAATGAAAAGCGAAGCCTGTTGTTGACCGGTGGGAGAGCCCTGGGGAGGGAGGCCATCTCGGTGTCGGGAGTCCATAAAAGACTGCCCTTTGGAGCGCTGTGACACATCTTGCTTTATGCAGGGAGCTCCTGAAGTTGTTTGCTGCCAAGGCTGTGGTGCTGAGCGGAGGGACTGAGCACGTACAGCTCGTGAGGCATGGAGGTGTGTGACAGAGAGGCTGCCTGAAAAGAGGGGGATGAACAGCCCTGTAATTCTCATGGAAGGAGGCTGAGCAATAGCCTTCCTCTTTTCCTCCGAGGATCCTCCAGCAGTCCATCCAGGAAGACGAACTCTCATCCCTCACCATTGTCCACTCCTCTCCCGCTGAGTGGAAGTAGTGACCCTGGGGGAAGTCAGAGTTGTGGAAAAAGGGAAGGAGGAGAGGGGAGTCTAGCCTGGCAGTGCCGGGAACCCAGAGAAGGCAAAAGATGACTGGGCATCTTTATGAGGCGTAAGCGAACAGGGAGGACCAAGGAGGAGCAGTACAGTGTTCCTGGAACAACCTCTGTTGGCGCACTGCCCGCAATGGAGCTCTTCGCCAGGGCTCCACACTCTGCTGACCCATGGAAAACAGTGAGATTGCTCAGGGCTTGTGACTGCCTCTGCGGCTTTCGTAAACTCAGCGGGAGGATGTTATACATTCCACGAGTGTGTCTAGACGCGGCTGGCCACGTGAAACTAGGATGTCACCCGGGGCAGTTAACAACTCACCAGAAGTTCTCAGAGAATTCCTGCTCAGGGAACAAAAGAATGAGCAAGAACAAGAGCCAGTCCCTTCTTCACCGTAAGAAATAACTCTGCATGGGGGCGCCTGGGGGGCTCAGTGGTTAAGCGTCTGCCTTCGGCTCAGGTCATGATCCCAGGGTCCTGGGATCGAGTCCCGCATCTGGCTCCCTGCTCCGCGGGAAGCCTGCCTCTGCCTCTCCCCCCTGCTTGTGCTCACTCTCTCGCTGACAAATAAATAAATAAAATCTTAAAAGAAAAAGAACTCTGCAGGATGTGGTTCTGCTCAGAGTACGATGACTGTTATTTCAGGAGCACAGAATTATTTGTGTGTCAATTAGATTCACTTTTATTTGTAAACCGCTTTGTTTCCTAGATGTTCACACATGCTGCGCACATGCACACATACACGCACGAAAAGGAGACCTAAGAAATAAGTTTGTGTCAGGATACCTTTTAAGTCAGACAACTCTGCTCTAGCTAGGGAGACCACAGGGAGCACAGGGGCTGGAACAATCAAGTGCAAGGTCTAAGGTAGCTTCTTTCTTTCCTCTCGCCATTGGCACCAGCAATATCACTAACCCTAAATAGGCTGCAGTTCTATTTCTAGAGGCATGTTTCCAGAGCACTTCGTAAGAACACGGAAAATGGAAAATAGCATGTAAAAAACAAAAAAAACACCGAAATTTACAAATTTGTTCTTAAGCCTGTTATGCAAACCTGAAATTTTCCAAAAAACCTTAAAAAGATCAGCATACTGAAAAAAAAAAAAAAATCCCTGTTCATAATGGAGCAGCATCTCTTCCAGAGCAGGTACACTTTTCCAGGCAGAATTTTCCAACCCCCTTACCTGTCATGTTTATTTTCTTGAGCTGCTCTTAAGAGCTCCTGTATGTTTTTGGTGATCTGCTCAGTTTTCCGGATGACATCTTCCGTGCTGGGGAGGATGGGGCTTGGGGCTGTGTGGGGTTCCGCTGTATCCGGTACTGAGCCGTCGCCTTGCCACACCATACTCCTCTGCCTTCCCTTTCTGCTTGACCTGTGACCATCAAAGAAGTGGCTAAATGTGACAGGTGCTTATTAGCTGCTTCTCTGCTTCTAGGAGCCAGTGCATGTGCATTTGCTGAGTGCATGAGCTGGCTGCTTTTGTGGTTTCCTTTATCCTGTCTGGCAGGAGACTCACGGTGAGGCTCTTTCCTCAACAGGCAGCCACAGCTCACATGGCAGCTGCTACCACGGGGCTGGAAGTTATGACTCTCACAGAAAGGGTAAAGACAGGGAAAGGGAGGAAACAAGTGGAACAGCGAGGATGTGTTGTTACAAAGCCATCCTTAAGCCAGCTCATCCCTTGGGCTACAAATGTAGAATGTGACCTCACGTTGACTTAAGAGTACTGATTTTAAGCACATACAGCCACTCAGAGACGTGTGTAATAGGCCGGTAAAAGAAAACCAGGCCCCTGGGGTAATAATAGGATAAGAGGTTGAACTATGAACTTAGGCTTCCATGTTTTACGAGCTCATGGGTCTGAAAACAGAGAGGAGGCACGTGGGAGATAAAGTGCGTCTTCTGAGCATGGCTGCTAGGTCTCGGGTTCAAGAGCCCGCCCCAGGGCAGTCCTGCAGGTGTACCCCGTGTCGTCTGGGTCCGTGTCATTGGGGGTGTTGTCGTAGTCACTTTCAGGCGTGCTGTTCTGCTTCTCCAGCCTGGATGCCTGTAAGAGAGAAAGGCAACACCTGTTAGTGTTGAGCCCGAGGCATTTGGGAGCCTTGCCTAGGAACGGTTACCTGTTATGCTACGTGGCCTTCAGGTCCTAGATATCACTTGGGCCAGGAGCCAACCCTTTATTGAAAATTTAGTAAAAGTTGAGTAAGAGATCCAGAAATGATTTCTCTCCCTCTTGGCACCATTTTTTTCTTAGCTCAGTGGCAACTTCATAAACAGATCCCCGGTATAAACTAACGCAGACATGCAAAGCAACACACCCACATTTAGTTCTCTAAGGAATATGGAGTTTAACCATAATACAATGCACACAGGCCAGCACTTACGTACCCAAGACCTTCGGTGCTGGAAACCAGCTGCAGATTATCTAGTCTAATACCAGATGAGAAAACCAAGGGCCATAAGAGCTGGGGGACAAAGCCAAGGCCACAGACTCAGCAGAAAACCAGCACCAAGAACCTAGGTCCCGTCTCCTACTATCTCCAGTATTCCGTGCCTGGGGCCCTGAGGATTGTCACTGCTCAAAACACTTAGGGCTCTCCAAGAACTGTCCTCAGAGACAGTTGGTATGAGCCACACAAGAAAACCAGTATTATTAATGCTGCATGTTGTTTGTGAACCAAAATTCATTAACCCAGCGTGACACTTGGTTTCCAACCACTTTTATGTTTCCCAAAACATCTATCCCTTAAGATATAAATACTTGATGCAATTGTGGAGATTAAAAAATGAAACACAGATTCAAAAGAGGAATCCTAAAAATGTTTTGGGCAAACGTCAGCACAGCGAAGCATAGGGTCTTCCAAGGTGACCCAATTTGGAGGGGACAACATGCCCTTGAAGGGGACTATGTTAGTTCCAGAGTGTTTAATAAAAATGATTTTCCCTCAGTATTTATTTTACCCACAATGTTTGGGAATTTCTTCATCTAGAACAGAAGTCAGTGGAAATTGATTCAAAACCTAACTGGATCACTTTGCAAAATACAAATATGAGCTATTTCTACCTTTATACCTTGAGTTTAATCCAATCCAAGTTACTCAAAACATGTGACTAAGGAATTTTATTGATGCTGCAATAAAATGTGGTTAAAGATATGGCTGTAACTTAAGATCCTTGTTCAAACCTATGGAGACTTTGTATCTTCATCCAAAAGAATGGCTAGCATAGAGTAGGCCAGTTTAAGAGTCTATATAAAGTCTAATTATTTGCTCCTTGCTGGTAATGCTGCTTGGCCCTCCAAAGGCTCGATGTAGACCCACAAGGCGGCCAGCCACCAGGTGGGGAAGACTCCTTATTCATGCCATATTTGGCTTCACTCTCCCCATGGCCTCCTTTTCCCCTCCCAGGGCAAAGGCTCCCTTCCACTGTGTGCTGAGCTTTTCCCATATTTCTGAGTGCTATTTGGTTCTAGCCATTCTAATATAAGACACTTGCTGGGCTCCTAAAATTCAATGTGAACTCATGCTCTACCCACTCAAATTCATCTGGCAAATGATTTAAAGTGTTGGCTTGGAGCCATGTGGAGAGTCTGTAAAGCTAAGTTCTATAAAATCTACTATAACCTTCCAGATCCCTGTGTTTATATCTCCTACCAGTAAGCAGTTCTGTTTTACCTGCTGCCTTATTCTGACCTGGCTTTATGAATCCGTCAGTGAGTTACTAGACACTAGAAGTGTAGCTGGAAGACCAAAGCTAGGCACTGTACCTCATGCAGGGAACAGGGAAAGCAGGCTCTTCTAGAGGTGATCTTAAAAAAGCTCCCCCAAAACAAACAAACAAAAATACCCCATCTTACCTTTCACAGGGAATGCTTATTTCCTTTAGTTTCTATATACACATGCACATACACATGGATGAGTGTTTGTATGTGCGTGTGTGTGTACACACACACACACGCACATACAAAAATACATAAAAAACTTGCATTTAAAAATTATTCTAGAAAATTCATCCAGAGCTGCTCCAGTGGAAAAATCTAGAAAACAGAATTAAACCCAGAAAATCTCACATTTTTATAATCAATCTTTTTGCTTTCCTTGATGTAAATGTGATAATTACAAATCAAATGCATTACCCCGCAATGATCGAAAGTACCAGGTTTCATTTAAACGTTTTAGAAGAGTAACAGCTCATATATCCAACAAGTACTCAGGAAATGTTCCTCAAGCCCAGAAAACAACATATCGCAATAACCATCCGGGAAATCAGTTACTTACACAGTATTTCATCGTTGTCAACAAAAGCATGGTACAGGATTTCAAATTAGCCAGCATTTAATTTTATGAAAATTACTGTAAACATGCAGAGCTAAGATTAAGACCTATTAGTTAAAGCGCTGCTCTCTCAAAGCTGTTAATAGAAAAGTCACCTTGTAGCTGGTGCTGGTTCAGTTTACTGAACAGATTTGCAGTTTTCTCTGAATAGAGACATGCCATAAAAGCCTAAACTCATGATGAAGCTGTCAGGAACAATCGAGATTATCAGTTTAAATGACATAACTGTTAATCTTGTATAAAACTTGTCTCAGCAAGCAGTCCCTGCAAGGATTCTCAAAACTACCAAAGAAGATAGATATTTTTTTCTTTTTAAACAAATTTCACAGTGGGCAAAGGAGGTTTACTTGACTCTTACTAGGAAAATTTCAAATGAGTGGTTTCATTTCTATTTATCTGTCCCTTAGTTTTAACTGAAAAATTACAATAAAAACATTGCAGTTGATGTCAGAACTGTTCAGAAGACTAAGTATCATACAAGAATTCCTTTTAATAGACTACCTCCAAGTGTGGAAGAGAACCGCCAAAGGGCCTCAATGAGCCATATGGCACTGGCAGTGGGAACGAACGACTCTCTGTCATTCCTACTGATATGGAGGGGATGGAAAAAAGCCTCATGCAAACCCCACCCTGTCTGTGAGGGTAGTGCCTCACCCACAGCCACCTTCCCTCCTCTCAAGTTGCATCACAATACCCTTCTGTTAAAGAAAGAGTGTGCCATGACCTGAACGCAGGTCTTGCAAGCCTGTACACTCTCTCTACTACTTTCCAGCTTGACATCATGCACTCTTTGTGCAGGGAAGGACTTTTTTTTTTTTAAAGTAAACTCCACGCCCAGCGTGGAGCCCAATAGGGGGCTTGAACTCATGACCCTGAGATCAAGACCTGAGCTGAGATCAAGAGTTGTACGTTTAACCGACTGAGCCAGCCAGGCGCCACAGGAAAGGATTTTTTAAATTGACAGTGCCTTTGGGAGCAGGAATGTCACCTAAGTCCCTGGGACACTCTGACTTACCAAAAGGTTGGGTATAGAGGAGGCGCTTAAGACTGTTGTCTGCCTACTCTAAAAGGGGCTTACCTGAATCACATATTGTTATAGGGAATGTAAATTATACATCAGCAAGCTGGACTCAACCAACTCATTAAGTGAACTGCTCCATACTCGCAGCTGTCTACACCTCCAATGCTGGCACATGTTGCAATTCTGATGCAGGACACAGGGACTGCAGAACCTGGGTGTGTCAGGTATGGCATGGACATAAAAATGTCAACAGGCAAAACAACACAAAATAATAAAGCATGGTGTCTTAGTGTTTCAGTTAGCCCAAATATACTAGTGTTAATCTGACAACTGTTACTCTGGACAAATTTGACACAGTGGCCCTATTATAGTATTTAACCAGCAACCAGCTAATTGTTTTTGATTGTTTAAAAAGACAGTATTGCTCTGAATAAATGTTATAGGGTGAATTGCAAACTTTGTTAAATATTAAGTGAAATGGAGCAATGTGGGGTTAGACAAAAGGGAGACCACCTCCTACAGACATGCGTGTGTGCGTGTGTGTGTGTGCACGCACGCATGCCCGCACGCCACTGTGCTGAGACACCTGGGGGAAGCACTGCCTCATGCAGGACAGAAGGGCAGTTAGTGGAGGGACAGGAGGGCCAGGAGAAGCACAAAGCGCCCAGGAGCACTGCCCCTCCTCCAGACAGCAGATCGGTCAGAGTGTACTTAACCCTTCGGGCGCTTTCGTCCCTCGACCAGGAAAGTGTGGAGGGGAAGGAAGGCAGAGACGAAGAGGAGGTCACAAGCGCACTCCTCCCGATCTGGAAGGGGAAAAAGAAACACACTCGGGAAAATACAAAACAAACAAAAGACCCTACACCACCTTTACCCAGGGCTTCCCAGTAAAAGAATCCTAAAAACAAACTCACTCTGTGAGATCAATGCTGAAATTTCTGTGACAGGCAGGCTCAGTGCCATGCTAGATGATGACAGGTCCCCAGAAATGTTTACTCCTTTAGTGAGATGCCTCCCAGAAATTACTTGGAATTTATAAAGTTACTTTTCCATAAGAGAAAAGATAACACCTAGCATAATTTGTTAATTTTGTCAGATAGCCTTAAACGAATGTTTGTTTTTTAATCAGGATATACTTGAAATAAGAAACTATATGAATGGTTCAGTTGGTATAGGTTCTTAAGCTACTCTTCAGTACAGATACAGAACTTTAGCAATAAAATGACATTGCATTCTAAATGTTTCTAAAATTAAAAAGTATACTGTGAAAACTGACAAAAGTTGCTTTTCCTAACTTTTGTTTTCAGTTATACAAAAATAAGATCCTTAAGTTAGTTCAATGGCATTTCCATTACACCAAATGTACCAAATCAATTGCCTTAGAATGTTTTAGCCCAAACAACTTAAGAAGTGGAAGTAACGGACCCCCAACTACAATATAACACTGAAATTTTACCACACTGAAGCCTGACAAAATTAAACTAAGTCTTAATTTACTAGACCCTATCCTTTACTCTGTATTTACTCTGAGAATTTTTTGGAAACTCCTATAAAATCTGACTGAAGAAATAACTTTCACGCTCATAAAAAATAAATACTACTCCCTGAAAAAGCGTTAAGTTCCAAAATGTCCGTAACATTTTGTCAAAAGATGGGTTTTTAAAATAAATTAATCCAAAAGAAATGTAACATTTGAAAACCGCACAACACAATACTTATTCTGTTGTAAAACAAGGTGGTTAGCAGCCTGTTACAGAATGCAATCTCTGGCATACAATACTTGTAAAATCGGTATAGAGGTTTTACGTTTCCCTTTTATGAAATGACAGAGCAACACTGTCTCCATGAAGGGGAGGAGGGGGATGCAGAAGCTAAGCAAGCAGGCTGACCACACATGGAGAGGCTGCGGAGGCCTGGAGGCTTCCAGACCTACCCTGCACACCCAGGCTGCAGACACTACCTGCTCCACCAGGAGGAGCAGAGAAGGCACTCTGAATTCTAAGGGCTCCATTTCACAGAGGGGCACCTATCTGTCTACCTCAAAGAAGATGGCACTTAATTTTGCTGGTGACCTTTACCATTTGTTTTTGTTTTTAGAAGTGGGGAAGAAAGCTTGTTACAAAAAAAGTTCCAGTACTGACTGGCTGGGAAAGATATTATGGATATGAGGGAGGAAGGGGGGGGGGCGTTGCTGAACAGGAGCCAGAATCCTGAACTTTGTTGGAAAACTTTCCGCCAATGGCCCTGTCTGCCTGTGGGAGTATAACGAGCATCTGTTGACATGTTAATACAGCAAACACAAGGATAACTCTCCTAGCCCAATTTGGCAAAGCAGAGACACAGGGATCTGCAGGTTCAGAAGAGGGTGTGCAGGAGTCAGGCTGGACAGAGTGAACAGCGGAAGCGCCAGTGGTGTTACTTACGTGCGCGGGGAAAGGCTGGAGTCTCGTCCTGCTCTCTTCGGGGTGGTTCACTTCTCCCATTGGGAGATATGGTTTCTGACCTGATCCCGTCTCGTACATGGACATGGGCCTACTGCCCCGGGCAGATGGACGTCGCTTTAAGGAAGAGTGGTTGGAAGTGTCTGTATACTCAGAACCAGTTTGCACCTGATATATATTGGTTGTGGCCTGTTTCCTGAGGTTCGAATTTTCACTCTGGAGTGTTTGAAGCTGAAAGAAATGTTTGGCAGTGGGACGGTGTTTTTCTACAGCAAGCAGAAAAAGCAAACACCAAGTAAACGCATACAACTACCAGCTTTAAACAGTAAGAACAGTAACAGCTAGCTGGGTTGAAAGTTACAGGCAACTACAAACAAGAACTCGCTCTCCTAGAATGAGTGACACGCATCAACTCACTTCATCACTCAAGCAAATTAAACAGGCTTGATTTCTCATTGCAGAAAGGTTACAGTTTGGACTTTTAAAAAACGAAATGTCTAACCACTTAAAAACTGGTCATGGTGGGCCTGGGAAATGTTTGCAGGTGAGCCGGACTCTGGATTCTTCTAAGGCTGTTTCAAGCAAGAGCTTGAGATCATGAAGATTTAGGTAACCTGCTTTTCAAATGAGCCCTGAGCAATTTGCAAATGCCAAAAATGCCAGCAGACACCATGGAAGCAGCACAAAGATAACGAGAGTTGCTTTGCAAAGCAAGAAAGACAGTGAAGTTCAGCTTATGAAAAATCAGATGGGCTACTGCTTCCCAAAAAGCCAACAAGAAAAATTATGATCAACAAATTTTTATTACAGAATACTCTTGATATTCCAAACAATTTAGAACTTCTTAAAAAAGAGAGGGAACCAAATCATGGTAAGTTTGCTATATTAACATATCATGAAGAAAACTGGAGGCCTATGGAACTACGTTAACATCTTCGTCTGAATGTTCCACGTAGCACGCTTTCTTCCCTCTGGTGATCAATCAGCTTTCAGCCAGGGCCGGAATATTTGGCCTCTCTCTCTCCTTGGGCTTTGTTAACCAAAAACACGACCTCGGTGGTGTCGGCTTTAAATACTCTAATCTGCCTGGCACCACCCTATTTTAGTTAGAGGCTGTCACTTGGAGACCCTGATTGCTCCTTCCATTCCTCACATGCAGGCTGCTTCATGGTGTTTGATGAATTAGAGTTAAGGGATCAGCAAGGAATCGTGTTACTCCTTAGCGTCTGGCATTTGAAACACAATTAACTGAGTCCCGTCTGCACAGTGTCCTTTCCCTCTGGTGCTCCTTCATCTTCCATGACATTTTATAAGCTGGGTGTGGTGTAAGTTCAGCTGTCTACTCTTTGACAGAGACTGTAAACTCTGACCAAATTCCCCACCAGGGCCAAGGCTTAAGTCCGCAAGCAAATGTATTTGCACCAGAAGATCATTACTTTTTCAACAGCAAACCCATTCAGTGTTAGGAGTTACTTTCAATTTTTATTTAGAAAGCACCGATCTGTGAATAATACACCAATAGTGGCTGCTCCTCTTCATTAATTAGCATCTTTTCCAAGCAACTGTTAAATATGAAAGATCAGATACAAATCATGCTACTTTGTCAACTATATAGATATAAAAACTTTTACCTAATTTTAAAATAAAACCAACACATCTTTGCAAAACAAGCAAATTCTATATACTTTTTATAGTAACAGTGCCAAATTTTTGGGACAGTCTGATTTATACTGCCTCTGCCACAGAAACACCCTCATTTCTGTATTTTCCAAGTATGATCCACTAAGGAATGACAGTGCTTCTACACCACAAAGGCTTATAGGGTTTAACTATCTGCAACTCATTTCCCAAAGAAAGAACAGCTGTGAAGTGACAAGCAGCCACTGAAAATTCCTACATTCCAGGATAGAGACAAGCATAAGGTGCCTGTCAAACTATTTATTAGGAAGCCCATGTCTTAAAGTGAAATGGACACAGTCCAGAGAGTGAGGAGCAAAAGTGACACATGCCCCTCCATGAACGACTAGGGTGTCTGGTCACGTGCCTATATAAAAACCTTAAGAGTTTTTTAGATAATGCCTTGAAATCTGAAACTTCATCTTAACACCTGTCATGCCTCTAAAACATCCAGTGCAGATTTTGCTTGAATGTGTTTGTTGAGCACGAGTTCCTTGTCTTGATTTTAAAAAATTTTAGTCCTTGGTATTTAGAGAGATGTCCTAGAATGTGACTGATGCTGATCTTAATAAGAATCAGACTATACGTGTTTGTTTGGAAGGAGTGTAACAGGAAATGAAAAGTTACAGGTAATTCAATAGCTCCAAAAATCAAAAGCGTTTCTAGGAATTGAGATAATCCATGAGCAATGGTAAATAATTTCACTCTGCATTTCTTAAGTTTCAAGATGTTTGCTTTCAGAGATACGAGGTTATCTCTGGTGATTTCTACAAATACTAAAGGAGCATTATAGCAAAAAAAAAAAAAAGTGATACTTAGCAGACTGATTTACATTGGCAAAGTAAGCATGTTTCAGAAAAAGTCATCTCAACAAAAATTATTAGTGCAATTAATGGAACAAACTGTAATTCATTAAACAAAAGATATTTCAGAAAAGACAGAAGGGCTCTTGGTCTGCCCTGTTCAGAGCTGCACACCAGCCCTAGATGGGGCCAGGCTGGCCCAGAACAAGGGGTGAATTAAAATCTGGTTGATCATCAGGCAGTATTATAGGTTTGGGGCCATATATCTAAAAAAAATCATCTAGAACTCCACACCAAAAGAATCCTAGACCAAGCCCCAGGCGAGAGTACACTGCAGTGTCCTTCCCTGACAGGCAGAGGGGACAGACCTCCTTCTAGTTCCTTGGGCTTCCTTTAAGGGACACAACTGGGAAGGACCCAGCCGCACAGGGAGTGCACCTTGTCCTCTGTTCTTGATAATGATTCTGAAACATCACTCTTCAAATGGCAGAATTAAGACACAGGTACATACTTCGTTTTGTTTCTGTTTAAGGGAAGTGCACAAAACCTCAATTTGGAGAACTGAATGACAGGGACAGCTGTCTCATAAAGAGTTACATACACAATCTCCCTCCCAAGCATATTCCTTGCTACTCGTAGCCACACTCCTTTTAGGGATTAATATATTCATATATTTCTGACTCTCCCAAAAGGCAGCAAATGAGAAAATGCCGGGCAAATGGGATTGTCTCTTACTAAGTGTACAGTTCTCACTAGTGCATATGAAAATGTTTTCTTGTATTTATGGAGTCCCTACTCTGTGGTGGGCCCTGCTCTAGGCTCTGAGGACATCATAAATTAGTAAGTACTGGTGAAAAACAGAGTGGGGGTGTGGGACAGAGCTGCCAGAGCTGGGTGGGTAACAACTGAGAATACGAGTAAGCAGGGATGGCAACCTTTGCATGGAGCGCTGAAAAGCACAGACACCTGTTCAGGGCTTTTATCTGCTCTGTCTTCGTGGTGTGATTCTTTAGAAGGAGCAATAGGAAGGAGTGCATCCACATTCTCAGGAAGCACGGCATAGTGCAAGGGTGGCTGCAACAAGGTTGTTCTGTGCCAACTGCTTGGGAAACTTACTCTGGATTTATTTCTATTCAAAACCACTTCGTCTGAAAGATCCAAATACATACTGCTTCCAAAAAGCTTGGCCCAAAGGTTTTTAGGTCTGTTACAATAACTGCTTCTCTCCCCTTTGCCCACCAGCATTGTGCCTGGGATTCTTCCTTATACTACGGGGTTAAAGAGTCAATTATCCTGGCATTTATTAACGTGTTACCTTTTTCTGCATAATTCTCAGCTCGTCACTCAAGTTGTTATTCACCTTCATTAGCTGTTGTATCTTGGCCTCAGAAGCCACTAGAGCGTTTTTGACCTCCATAAATTCCTGCACAGTGACTGGTCCATCTGATAAATCTGAATCTAGGCTCTAAAAATAAATTGGGGAAAATGTTCACAATCTGAGATGATGATAACATTCAAGACTCACAGCTAAAGAATTTCAAATTCTGACCATGCCAGCTGGACTGCAAAGTTAATCAAACCAAATCAAGGCTTCTGGGAGGAATGCAAAAATAAAGCATAAAGGTAGGGTTACTGTAATATCTGAAAAGTTAAATTAGAGTCAATATTTTCTAACAGAACAGGGAGTGCGGCCACAAATCTAGTCTGACAAGGACTCTCGGTGCATTTGTCTTGTATTCCCTTTCTCTTGCTCCTTTTTCTTTTTTTAAATTCGTTCTCTCAGTAATTCCTTCATTCCAACCTATTTGTATTGAGCATCAGGCAATGTTCTAGGGACCTGGGATATATAAAAAAAGAAAATAGACAAAGATTCCTGCTTCCATGGGGTTTACACCCCAGAAGAGTGGGAGATGGACAAAATAAAAATAAGTGACTATGTAGTATGACAGCAGGTGACAAATGCTATGGAAAATAGAGAAAATGAAGCGGGGTAAGGGGCTGGGGAGAGAAGTAGGGGTGAAGGTAGGTGCCTTTTAATGAGACAGGTGGGATAAGCCTTTGGGTAGGTGAGACATGAGTAACAGCTGGAAGGACATTAGTCCAGTGGCTGTCTGGAGGAACGTTCTAGCCAGCAGCAGAGCTTAGCTAGAGGCAGCAGGTGTGCAAGGCAGAGAGGAGGACGCCAGTCAGTAGGATCCCGTCATGACTTTGGCTTTTGCTCTGAATCTGGTGCTTCTGGGGACACTGGGCAGAAGCGTATCAGATGGGACGAGTGACTCTTGCTGTCCCTCCCTCACTCCCTGTATCTACTGATGGCACTATCCCTCTCGCAGTCGTGTGACCTGGACAACTCTGAACACATCTTCTGTTAGTCTATGTCCCCGCTTCAAACATTCGAACTTATTGCTGAGACCTCTTTATCTGTCTTCCTGTTTGTCCGTTCTCAAATGTTTGCTGAGCTCCTCTGTGGGCCAGATCTGAGGCAAGGTCCTGGGGACTCAGCAGCAGGTGCACCAGCAGGCCTCCACTGCCTTCTCCTTGGGCCCACACTCACTCGGCTACTGTGACTTCCCTTCCATCTGGACCCTTTCAGCACAGGCTCCAGGGCGGCCTCTCAGCAGTACCCCAACTGGGTTTCCTTCCTCTGCTCTCTGACCTACCAAGAACAGTTCTCCCCAAAGAGAGGAACCAAAATTGCTGACCATCGCCCTCCTGCCCTGCCCTTCCTGGGCTCTACACTGCCTGCCAAGGTGTGGACTCTTCCGTCTGACGTCACGCTCCTCCAGGATGTGACCCCCGGCCTCTGCTACAGCTGTGAGTCCCACTCCTTTTAGGCTGTCTCCACACCTGAGCGGGTTGTATCAGATGCCCTCTTTTACCTTCTCTCCGCCTAGACCACCCTCCCCTGCCTCTCCACATACCTAATCCCATGCATCCTTTAAGGCACATGTTGACAGACATCCCACTTACACAGCGCCCCCTCCTGCCCCTCGAGACACTTGTTCTCGCCAACAAGCTGGGTCTCCTCTCACACCCCTACCCTCCGCTTCCGTTTGTTTCTTATGACATGTATCCCTTTGTACCTCTGACTACAGTTCTCTTTCCTACTAGGCAGGGACAGCCTCACAGGAAAGGGACTAGGCCTCATTTGGGAGAGTATGATCCAGAGAAGGCACTTGGTAAACATTTGCTGAAGGAATAAAACACATTAGCCCCTCCTCACAAGTTTTATAAAATCACAGCTGAGGTAGGGCTGTGATTCAGCAGTCAACTTAGGGACACAGGACCCCCTATTTTAAAACGATTTACCTTGCTGGCCCAAGCTAGTAGTAAACCCAACTTTATCTCCAGAGCACTTTTCACAGTGGTTTACAAAGAAGGCGATTTTGTAGGAGGAAAGATTCCAAAAAGAAACACATTCTCCCTTTCTGTGTGCAACATGTCACCTCACCTTCTGCCTGTTTGCTTTGCTCGCAGTAGCTTCCAGATCCGTGTCTTCATCTGAGGCCACGCTGTCATAATCTGGCTGCTCATTGTCTTGACTCTCAACGCTGTGCTGCTTACTGATTGTTTTCAGTATGAGCTCCACATTGTCTATTAACAGAAGCAAATTAACTTTTCTTCAGGCTTAAAAAAAACTGTTTCCCCTAAAATCCACTGGGAGGATTTTCGGGTTTAGCCATTTAAAGACTAAAAGAAAATGACAGAAATAGCCATGTTATATTCACACCAATACAGGAATCATAGAACAAGTTATCAACTAGACAGAGGGTCTACTATCACCTGCAGAGAGGCATTTCAGTGTCCCTCTGGATCACTCACCAAATGTGGGCAAATTAATTAGGTGGTTTGCGAAATTGCTGCTCAGATTGAGGAGGTAGGTTCCTGAGTTTCTCAACATTGGAGGAGACAGGGTATAGTTCCAAATCAGGGAACTAAAGTCGTAACTAATATAAAATTAACTGTGATTCAATTTCAACTATAACTTGTTTACAAGGTAATGTCACTGAAAGGAGACTGCTAAAACGGAGCCTAGAAGCTTGGTGCTCAAAGAACAGGCGTGCTGGCATTTAGTTGGCTGACTGCCAGAGAGAAAGGGGAAAACAGAACAACCCACTGGACACATACATGCACACCAGGAAGGTATGGTCTACAGGGGAGCAGGGATGATTCCAAAGGCTCTCACACATTTTGAATAAAGGATTTCACAAATTATCTAAGTCTCTCCAATTTCTCCGAGGCAACTAACTCAAGCTGACCTCTGATTTCCAATAAGGAATTTTAATTTTTCAAATTAGTATTTAAAATGCATGTATCATCTGATTTACAGAAGTAATACTCAATACAGAAAATCTGAGGGGTGCTTGGGTGGCTCAGTCATTAAGCATCTGCCTTCGGCTCGGGTCGTGGGATCCCAGGGTCCTGGGATCGAGCCTCGCATCAGGCTCCTTGCTTGGCGTGAAGCCTGCTTCTCCCTCTGCTTGTGTTCCCTCTCTCACTGTGTCTCTGATAAATAAATAAATAAAATCTTAAAAAAAAAAAGAAAATCTGAAACTAACGGTAATCAATCACAGCCATTGATTTGTTTTGGTCTATACCTTTCTAGTCTCTTCCCTAAACATACAAAGAGTCCACGTCATCACTTGCAGTCGGTATGGTACACAGAGCTGCCATGATGACTGAATTAGCAAACCCTGAAGCACTGTTCCATGGGGAAACACAGGGCAGGTCCCTGCCGGCCTTTGCTCACAGCACTTTTGTTATAGCCAGTCAGCACAGAGCCTTACTTTACGTGTGCCTGTTTAGACGCCACTGTTTAAAAACACATTTATTTATTTATCTGAGAGACAGAGAGTGAGAGAGCATGAACAGAGGAGGAGCAGAGGGAGAGAGTCTTTCAAGCAGACCATGGAGTCTGACATGGGGCTCGAGCCCACAACCCATGAAATCACGACCTGAGCCAAAACCAAGAGTCGGACGCCCAACTGACTGAGCCACCCAGGCGCCTCCCTGTTCAGACACCTTTAATATACATTGTTGATTTGTTAACATTGAACTCACAGCCAATAGCACTACAACTCATGTTTGAGTAAAGCTTATCTAACACAGGTATTTTCTCCATAAGGCACAACACAGCCTTCCTGTGCTAAGGAGCCCCAGACAGCACTTCAGCACTACGCTTGGGGGCCAATTTAAACAGCAGAATCATCAACAAGAAGCACAAAAATATAAAAACATGGTACTAAGTAGACCTAAAAAGGACACTTGTTAACAGCATGACAGTTGAGACAAAAAGGCATACAAATGGCCTTGTTCAATTTCAGCTGGGGACGTGTGTTTTGATTGACTCAAATTTTTTGCCTCTCTGCACATGTCCACAAGTTACCATGAAAGTTCTGATTTCGAGATTATAGATAAGCTTTAGTGAATAGATGAATTTGCAAATATGGGATCTGCAAATGAGGACTGATTACGTATTTACACGGTACTTAATGTGGTATATTTACTTGTACATATATATGTGTATAAATGTTTTCCTTACAAAATAGGGACTATACTATTAAAAAAACTAATTTATTGGGCACCTGGGTGGCTCAGACGGTTAAGCATCTGCCTTCGGCTCAGGTCATGATCCCAGGGTCCTGGGATCGAGTCCCACATCGGGCTCCCTGCTCCGTGGGAGCCTGCTTCTCCCTCTGCTCCTCTCTCTCACTCTCTCTCTGTCTCTCATGAATAAATAAATAAAATCTTTAAAAAAAAAAACAAAACTAATTTATTACTTTATATTATGTCATTATATATTCATTGGGAAAAAAAGTCTGCACTATTCAAATATGTGATTCTCACTACTCTATTATTTGTTTCTAATGTTTTCAGTGTTACATATACATATAACATCTCTGATCATTTCCCCTCGAATTAACTAGAAAAATACTAAATCAAAGGGTATGTACATTTTGAGATTTCAAATTTATGTATGGACCCTTATCACTGCACCTTCACCAAAATTTAGTACATTTTCTTAGAATTTGCTTATTCCTGGTTGAACCAGTAAAATCAAGAACTAATGTCAGTTAATGATTACTGTCTTTGGGGAATACTATGCTAACTGAAAACTTAATTTTTATGGTATGTATTTCTTCTGTCTTATAATTAAAAATGTATTACTTCTGTAATTAGGAAAAAAACCAAGAAGAAGTATGGAAGAGCCAGGACGCTGAGCTACTAAACTAGACTCAACAGGGCACCTTGAAAATAGGGCTTGGTGTTCTCTACAATTTTAAACCACAATAATTCTCACCACAGACATCTCAAGTTTATAGTAACAAATTTTCTTATTTAGAGCTCAGTTCTGTATGTAAGCAACAACAGGTAAGCTGAAGTATCAATCAAGAGGGCTGATTTTTCTTCTGCCCTTTAATAAGACCTAAGTCAGACTTCTGGGTTAATTTCAGGATGCAATTTTATAGGAAGATAGGTGATCTAAGAGGAAAAAACACATATTGGATAAATGTGAATAGCAGTTAATAAAACTGAAATATTTATAATTCATCAGGGCTCAAAAAGGTAAGTTTTTCATTATTACCGCTTTAATTAATTTATAATTTTAAATTTAATACCTGTGTTGAGTTTAGAAGTCCAAAGAAGCAAATTTTAGCAGCTTGAAACAGTTACCTTTTGAACTAGAAAGAGGACTGCCTTGCTGTCTCCTCTTGGCGTCACTGAGAATGTCGATGACCAGTGTGGCAAACTCATGGGCATTAAACCGAGCGAGTTTCTGTCTGCCCTGAGAGTGAGAAAATAATTGGAAATATTCCCAAATGTGAAAATATATGCGTAGATATTCACATAAAACCAATCACGTTGTTGTCAGACTTGAGCAAGACTCCCAAGCAAAGACTTCCAAGCATGATCAGAATACCACCGCAGTCTAGGGTAGGCACACATCAACGTTTTCCTTGCAAACAAGGTAGAGCCATCTACATAAGAGAACTAGATTAACACCTTGCACATTTACCTTTGTGAACAAAACCACAATGTTTCTACCTGATGCTTTTTTTTCCCCCATTATCAATTCAATTCTGAAGTAGACCCAGTAATGAAATACTGATTTGGAAGAAAATTTTAAAATTTCAAGATAAAGTTATAGCCTAGATGCTGGGACTCCGTTACTATATACAGCCGTTAATCAATAAAAATTAAAAGGCCTTCCCAATTTACTCAACCTTTCTCCTCCTGACAGAGGCTTAGGCTGTTTTTAATGCTTTATTATTTTATACAGTGCTTGGATGAAAATCACTGTGCATAAACCTTTGTTATTTTTATTTTACTAACATATATTCCCAAATAAGGATTACCTGTGGGAAAGGATGGACTTAATTTTGAGGCTTTTAAAATCAGTTAACAAATCACTTTTCTGAAGTCTATAGCAATGTAAACTCTTATCTATAGCATAAGAAAGCCCATTTTGCTATATCCTTACCAGCCTGGAGTATTTGATTGACGAAATTTTAATGAATGCCTTTAGGCTACTTTCTTGGATTACTAGTAAGGTTAACCATTTCTTCACATTTGTAAGCCATTTATATTTCTGTAAATTATTTTATATTCTTTTCGTCTCCGATTTACATTTATTGTTTTCCTTATCAATTTCTTGAGTTTTGCGTGTTTGTGTGTGTAAAGGACATTAATGCTTTAATCAATCCAAAAATTTTAAATACCTGTCCTGGGAAAATTAAATACCGTATCAGCCATTCCCAAAATAACACCACTGGTTACTTCTCAGACTCAGCCACTTGCCTGGTTCCGTGTTGAAGAGTACTCAGGATTGACCGGAAGGAAGGGGACGACAGTTGTCTCGGTTACCAGGGTGCTGTGGTTTTGTGTGGCAAGCCAGACTAGCCAGAGAAAAGAGCCAGAGATAGAATCTTATCACCATGGGTGTGCCACTGCTTCTAGGGAGACTCGGGGAAGCACACTCCGAAACCAACATACACAAAAGTAAACGTTGACAACATGCATCACCAGGACAGTAGAAATACTGCCCATCAACAACAGAAGCTTATAAGAGAAAGCCACATGTTCAGTCACCTGCATCGGTCTCTCGCCTGTCAACTTCATCGTACACATCCATGGCAAGTTCTTCAAACAAATGATTACTGAGCTGCAAGTAAAAAAAAAAAAAAAAAAATCAAATCAGGAACACAAGGGACAAGGATTAATGCTGGGAGAATGAGTGGGTACTGTGACTTATTCACCCTTTAATCTCCAATGTCTTATCCAAAGCCAGTGCTTAGTAAATACCCACTGTTAAACAGACAATAACATTTCCAGAATAGTACGGATCCTCTAGAAATATCTGCCTCCCACAGCAGCCTCACTCCTTTGTGACAGGCAGACAGGGGTATGCTATAAAGGAGGGCAGAGTCATCTGAAATGCAGGGTCCAGTTCTCCACGTGACATCACCCTTTAAAGCCCCCTCTGTGCTCTTGAGCATTTGTCAGTGCCCCCAAATACAAAGGATCCTAAACCCTTGGTGGGATAGAGATGCCAAAACATGCCATTTGGAGAAGATAAAACATGCCATTGCAGAAACTAACCCCAGTTTTCAGTAAGTCTCTTTGCTATATTCTTCAGAAAGCCGGCCTCCAATCTTGGAAAGAACTCCGCACCCCCCACAAAGGACAGCCTGTCTAATCAGCGCACCGTGCAGTGTCAGCCAACAAAACAGTCTCCACACCCGCTGGCAGCTACTGGGATGGGGAGGACAGTTAGGGTCTTCTTCAATCCAGGTGAGGCTAAGCCTCCACCAGGATGGCTCCAGCTCTCTGCACTTTTTTCCTCATAAAACATACCCTGATGCTTGATGGCTGTCACTTTTTAGTTGACACTGAATTTGTTTTACTCCCTACTGTGTTCCTTATGTCCACACAGTACCTGGCACTGAGATGGGGCCCGGTAAATATCCAGTCACACACTGCCCAGAAGGTATTTTATGTGGCAATTTAAAAGGCTGGCTACACAGACCTCGTGGGAGCTTGTTAAAATGGGTACACTGTTGGGTGAAAGGAGGATATAAAATTCTATAATTATGATTGAGCTTCCATTCAAAAAAATGATATGCATATAAAAGAAGGATTAGAAGAAATATATAAAAATATTGAGCCTGAGTCCATTAAGAATATAGCGAATGAATATGATTCCCCTTGTCCATTTTCCACATTTTCTCTAGTGTGGTTAGTTTATATTTATAATTGAAAATAAACTCTGAGTGCCTTTTGTTGGATAAAGTGATGAGGGATTGGGAACTTGAACTTGCGTCATAAATATCCAGTCTCTTTCCAATAAGGGGCTACAAGCTAAGGTTATCATTATTCAGTAACTACAACAGCAACACTGACTGAGGGCTTACATCCCAGGCACTGTGCTACTATCATCACATTAATACTCACAAAACCTCTACGAAGATAGGATAACTACTATTATCTCACTTTACAGACAAGGAGATTGAAGCACAGAAGTTAGGAGCTTGCCTAAAGTCACAAAGCCAGCAAGTGATGGACCCAAGATCCAAGTTTAAGTCTCTCCAAATGTTAACACTTACTAATTTAAAAAAATATATTAGTCTTATATTTCTCTCAGCTTCTCATTAGGGAGGGACAGAGGGAGATATCGTAGGATGAACACTGATGTGGCACCGGTCCAGCTGTCCCCTGTGAGGAGACCACGGGGTGGGGTCAACAAGTAATAACAGCAGCCCATCCTCACTGAGCAGTTCAGATTTGAAGCCGCTGATGGATCAGATCATTAGCCCCCTTTCCAGGAGAGCACACCAAGGCACAGAGAGGCTAAGGAGCTTGTCAGAGATGAGCTCTGTACCTGACCAGTCTGACCCAGAGTCCGAGTTCTTGAGAGCTGTACTCAACTCAGTTCCACATATTTATCTAGTGCCTGCCACACGCTAGAAATAGGACAGACCTAACCCCAACTTTCATGCAGCTTTCAGCCTAGCAAATGTAGGTCAAAGGGAGCTTGAGTGTTACCAATAATGTTTGAATTATTTAAAATAAAAATTGGCTTATATACTCTAAGTAATTAAAAGGAAATCACAGACTATATCATCCTACCATATGACCTCCTTAATTTAAGAAAGGTGATAAAACACACAGACACACAAAACCACAGATACAGAACACAGAGACACCAAATTGCATAAAATACATTTATTTCATATCACAGTTAAATACTAGTAACGATAAATTCATTTTACGTGACATTTAGTACTTAATATTATATGAAGTACTAGTAAAGTGCTAGTAAAGGGGAGAGGCGATTTCAGAGTCAGGCTTGGGGAAACTCCCACCTACACTGTCAAGGTGGTCAGATTTCAGCTAAATGACAAAAGGGCTGGAAGCTGGGAAAGCAGAACACTGCAGAAAGAGAAGATTCCCAGAGAGGACCTGAAGGTGGCCTCAGAGAGTGTTAACCCAAAATGAAATAGTTAAAAAACATTTGCGCATGTGCACATGCACGCACACTTGCAGGAGGAACCGGATGGAAAGCAGGGCAAAAACTGAACGGTGAGCACTGGAGGACACCCTTCAAGGTCACAACAATAAGTTAAGAATCTTGGTTCTGATCCAGAGAGCTATGAGAACAGCCTGAGGCAGGCAATCTGGTGGTTGAAGCGGCTGGAGAAGCACCCCGGTGAGGCCTCATCTGTGGGGACCAAACTAAGAGGAAGTGTGCCCAGAGAAGCTGCTCTGTCGGGGCCCTGACTGGGGCTGAGATGGGTAGGCTGGGAAGAGGGGCCGAAGGGAAGCCGGGCCCTGCAAAACTGGGCGAGCTCTGAGCACGCACCGGGGCAGGACCACCAGCCCTTGATAGCAAACACTTAAAAAGCTCTGACGGACAACATGGGCTATGCAAAACAGTGACGGTGGTGGCCCAATGCCACCAATGCAGCACATAGATCTGCGCCACTCACTACTCCAACAACAACTCGTGTCTTTCCCTAGGTACCGGAAGGCATCCCTAAAAGTGTGTCCCATTCTTTCACACTGAAACTAGGGAACCCTCAGGGGGAGAAACAACTCCCTCACGTCAAATGCACAGTCTTCGCTTTCAGAATGACAGAGAAAAACGCCACCACCTGAAGCAGAGCCGATAAACTGGATCTACTAAACTTACAAATAGTACTTTCCGTCTTCTTCTCTATGTACTCAATGCTCTGCTTTGGATTTTATAACAACCCAGAGTATGAAACTAAGTCATCTGGTGCGGTAGGTAATGGGCTGAGGACAGGTATTAGCAGGATGCACGGTTTCCCACACTGAACTTCACTAGGAAACAGAGATACTCACGGACTGAAGTTTCTTCTTAGCAGCTTTTGCCAATTCAGACAAATCCAGGCTGCTAAGAAAATGTACAAAACTAATAAGCAAATAAATAAAAACCATTTTTATGAGCTCTGTAGAACATTAAGATAGCCAAAGCATCAAGGCATTAATTAACAGTTCAGGGACATGATCAGAAACAAAAATTCTGTAGCCCATTAGAGTTAGCGAGAAAACTTTGAACATAAGAACTTGTAGCTTTTAGAAACATCATAGTCATGTAACATGGGACAGAGAAAAATAATCACTGAATAACTAAAAGATAAAAACTACTGATGGTTCATCCCCCGGCCCTTTATGTGAGAGGTCACAATTCGTGAAGTATTAAAAAAAAAAAAGCATGACAGAAGGAAATATGAAAAGGGCAGAATGTGAAAAAACAGAATGGCAAGATTACATCTGGAATAGCAGATATGTTTCATAAACTCTTGACAGTATTTGTGCAAAGGTAATTGGATAAATAAGAATTTAAAGTTCATCCCTGCAGCTGTGAACTCAGCTAACCTCACAGACCAGGGGTCGGCAGATTATAGCCCATTTCTTTGTTCAGCCCATGAGCTACGCATGGTTTTTATATTTTTAAGTGGTTTGGGGGAAAAAAAACCCCAAAGCAAAAGAAAAATATTTTATAACATAGGAAGAATTATATGACATTCACATTTCAGTGCCCAGAAATGGAATTTTCTTGCAACTGATACGCCCTTCATTTACATAACGTCCACAGATGTCTTCATCTACAACTGGCAGAGTTGAGTAGTTGTGACAGAGGCTGTATGGCCCACAAAGCCTAAAATACTTACTATCTAGCCCTTAAAAATTCTGCCAATCCCTGTTACAAAGAATATCCTCTCTTACAATACAGAAATATTCTGTGATATAACCTATAGACACAATATACTGTCACAACTGGCTAAAACCGTGACAATATCACTAACTCCAATTTTACGTGTAAATTTGTTACTTGTACTCTTTTAAACTTAAGTTTTACATGGTGGTTTACTTACAGCCGTCTTATTTCCAAATTGTATAGCCATAAAAGAGAAAAATGTATGGGCTTTGTTAAATACAAAGTATAATACACTTAAAACACTATACAACCAAGGAAATAATCATGACAGATAAAATTGATTGGTATTTCAATGGCCTTACCTGTCTGCCATTTGAGGTATTATAAAGTGCTGTCCATTTTTGTGATCTGAAACAGAAATCAAGCCAAAGTTTTGTTTATACAAATATTGGTAAGATCAATAAAGGAACACCACCATAATTTTTTCAATTTATGTTTGGCAATTAGTAGTTTCCCATAATTATGAATTATTTGGGGGGGGGGGGACAGAAGTTGCAAATTGGCTACAAACTCCTAAGACCTGGCTAGTAGCAAGAATCATATTCCCATTTTTCTTCTGCTACAAAGATCCAGACGTCATTAAACAAAAAGACTGTGCTCTAACCCTACATTTCCATTCATTCCCAGTGTAACTGATGATCTTCAGTCATGGACAAAACTTTTAGGGAGCTAAATTAGCTCAGAGCAGGCTTTTATCAGCTCTCCATGTGGGATGGGGGAGCACCCTTGGGCTTTGGTGGCTCACCTGCAAATTAATCAATTAGCATAAAACCATCAGGGCTGGGGCAGGTGGTCCTGGCAGATCTGGGTGGGGTTGCCTTCTCCTACAATGCTTACTGACCCAGTCCCAACCTAGCTTCTTGGAGGTTGTTGATCACATGCCAATGAATAAATAGGCATTATAAACATTCACATATAGGTTTTTGTGTAACCATCAGTCTTTATTTCTCTTGGATAAACACCCAGGAGTGGGACTGCCCGGTCATGTAGGTATTAGGTAAATTTGTATGTAACTTGGTAAGAAACTAGCAGACTTTTTGGCAGAGTAGCTCTATCATTTTGTTTTTCAGCCAGCAATGTAAGAGTTACAGTTGCTTCACACCTTCCCACTCATGTTGTCAGTTTCTTTGGGCAGGTTTTTAAATTTTAGTCATTTTAATAGGTGTGTAGTGGTGTCTCATTGTGCTTTTAATTTGCATTTCTCTAATGGCCAATGATGCTGAGCATCTCACTTCATGTGCTTATCTGGCATCTGGATATGGTCTCTGCCCAGTTTGTATTGGGTTGTTTGTTTTCTTACTGTTGAGTTTTACGTATTTAGGGATAAATATTCTGGACCCAAGTCCTTTGTTGGCCATGTGATTTCCTAATATTTTCTCCCAGTCTGTGGCTTGTCTTTTCACTCTCTTAATTGTAGCATTTTGATGAAATCCAATTTACCAGTATTTTCTTTCACGGATTGTGCTTTTGGTGTTACATCTAAACATTTTACCTAAACCAAGATCATAAAGATCTTCTGTTTTCTTCAGAAGTTTTATACTTTTAGGTTTTACATTTAGATCTATGATCCATTTTGAGTTTTTATACCAGGTGGGAGGTACTGAAGTTTATATTTCTGCACATGGATATCCATATACTTGAAAGACTTTCTTCCTCCACTGAATTGCCTTTGCAACTCTCAAAAAATCAACTAAACATATTTGTGTGGGTCTATTTCTGGATTCTCTCCACTGTTTCATTGACTTGTACGTCTGTCTCTTCTCCATAACCATGGTCTTGAGCTCACCAGAGCTTTACAGCGAGAGTTAAAATTGGGTGGTGTGATTCTGCGCACATTCTTCTTTTGCAAAACAGTCCCATTCTAGTTCCTCTGCTTTTCCTTTTTTTTTTTTTTTTTTAAAGATTTTATTTATTTACTTGAGAGAGAGAATGAGATAGAGAGAGCGAGCATGAGACGGGGGAGGGTCAGAGGGAGAAGCAGACTCCCTGCTGAGCAGGGAGCCCGATGCGGGACTCGATCCTGGGACTCCAGGATCATGACCTGAGCCGAAGGCAGTCGCTTAACCAACTGAGCCACCCAGGCGCCCGTTCCTCTGCTTTTCCATGTAAATTTCAGAATCAGCAAATCTATGTCCACAAGAAACTCCTTGAATTGCATTAATTTTACAAGTCAATTTGTGGAGAATCGACTCTATTGAGTATCCCAACCCATAAACAGTTCTCTTCCACTAATTCAGGTCTTTTGATTTCTTTCAGCAGCATTTTGTAGTTTTCAGCATGCCGATCCCATGACTATTTTGTCAGATTTATACCTAAGCATCTAATTTGGAGCTATTACAAATGGTATTGTTTTTCTAGCTTGTTTCCAATTGTCTACTGCTAATCTATGGAAATATGATTTATTTTTTGTTTCCCTTATATTGTGCAACCTGGCTAAACTCAGTTATTAGTTCTAAGAACGTTATTGTAGATTCCTTGGGGTTTTCTACATTGAAACCATCTTATTTATGATTAGTTGTATCTCTTCCATTTCAATCTGTATGCCTTTTAATTCTTCTTCCCTTACGGCACTGGTGAGGATTTCCAGTGCAATGATGAATAGGAATGGTAGGAGTGGACATCCTCGCCTTGTTCCTGATGTTCAAGCAAAAGCATTCGATGTTTCATCATTAAGGATGATGTTAGCTGTGGGTTTCTACAGATACTCTTTATCAGGTTAAGGAAGTCCCTTCTAGTCCAAGTTTGCTAAGTTTTTTCTTATCATGAAGGAATGAATGCTGAATTTTATTAAATGCTTTTTCTTCATCAACTGGTAAGACTAATGGTTTTCTTTTTCTAGTCTGTTAATATGATGAATCACATTGATTTTCACATCTTAGTTTTAGCATCTGGAAACCCTACTTGGTTACGATACATATATCATATATATATGGATTCAATCTGTTAACATTTTGTTGAGGATTTTGGTGTCTATGTTCATGAGGGCTATTTTTTTGTGCTATCTTTGCTGGGTTTGGTATCAGGGTAATGGTGGCCTCACAAAATGACTTCAGAATGTTTCCTACTTTTTTATTTTCTAAATACCATATAGAATTGATGTTATTTCTTCAAATATTTGGTAGAATAGTCTCATTTTATGTGCAAAACTTGAAATGCAAATTCCTAACACTAAGAACCATATTTGCAGGGGGCACTTGGGTGGCTCAGTCATTAAGCGTCTCCCTTTGGCTCAGGTCGTGATCCCAGGGTCCTGGGATCGAGCCCCACATCGGGCTCCCTGCTCCACGGGAAGCCTGCTTCTCTCTCTCCCACTCCCCCTGCGTGTGTTCCCTCCCTAGCTGTCTCTCTGTCAAATAAATAAATAAAATCTTAAAAAAAAAATCATAATAGCAAAGCTAGCAAATCACATGAGTCATAAAACTTATCTGTTGAACTGTTACATGGCAACACCACTTCAACTAGTTCACAGTACTTACCAGTGAAGTCATCTGGGTTGGGGTTTTCTTTCTGTTTTTTAAGATTTTATTTATTTATTTGACAGAGAGAGACAGAGCGAGAGAGGGAACACAAGCAGGGGGAGTGGGAGAGGAAGAAGCAGGCCTCCCGCGGAGGAGGGAGCCCGATGTGGGACTCGATCCCAGGACGCTGGGATCATGACCTGAGCGGAAGGCAGACGCCTAACCAACTGAGCCACCCAAGCGTCCCGACATTTCTTGTGTTCTAATGTAAGAATTTAATACTCTAAAATTTCCTCTAAGCATTTGCTTTAGCTGCATCCCATAATTTTAGTATGTTGTACTTTCATCCATCTGAAAAAATTTTCTAATTTCCCTTGAGATTTCCTCTTAGACCCATGGATTATTTAGAACCGTGTTGTTAATTTCCAGGCATTTGAGTATTTTCCAGTTATAGTTTTATTATTTTTTACTAGCTTAATTCCATTATGGTCAGAGAATATACTCTGTAAGATTTTAATTCTTTTAGATTGGCTAAGCTTTGTTTTATAACCCAGGATATGGTCTATCTTGGTGAATGTTCAACATGTACTTGAATGTGTATTCTGACAATGTTGGGTAGAGCACGCTATAAATGTCAACTAGATACAGTTGGCTGATGGTTTGGTTTCAGTTTGCTATTCTTGCTGATTTTCCTCTTTTAAATTTTATTTTATTTCTTTTAGTAAGTCTCCACGCCCAATGTGGAGCTTGAACTCACGACCCCGAGATCAAGAGTCACATGCTCTACCAACTGTACCAGCCAAGTGTCCCATATATCCTTGCTGATTTTCTATCTACCAGTTCCATCTATTACTAAATGAAGACTGCTGAATATCCAAGAATTGTGGATTTAACCTTTTCTCCTTTTAGTTCTATCAAAATTTGCTTCATGTATTTTGAAACCCTGTTGCTAGGTGTACACATTTAGAATTGTTACATCTTGGAAAATTGACTCTTTCATCACCAAGTTATGTCCCTCTCTATCCCCGCTAATTTTCTTTGCCCTCAATGTCTACTTTGTTTGATATTAATATAACCATTTTAGCTTTCTTTTACTGTGTTTGCAGGATATATCTTTTTATACCTTTCTGCTTTTAACTTACCTCTATCGTTATATTTAAAGTGGGTTTCTTGTAGACAGCATATATTTATTAGGGCTCATTTTTTTGTCTTAAATCCGTTCTGACAATTTCTGCTTTTTATTTGGTACATTTAAGATCATTAACATAACACTTAATGTAATTATTAATATGTTTGGATTTAGTCTATGATTTTATTTAGTTTCTGTTTGGGCCTCGGGTTTTTGTTCCTCTTTCTCTCCTTTCTCTCTTTTTTTGGAATGTTTTGAAGTATCTTTTGTTATTTGAGTAATCTTTAACTCTCATTTTATCTCTAGAGGTTTTGACTACCTATCATTGTATAGTCTGTTTTTAAGGGTTGTACTATGCATTATAGTATATGCAATCTTTTAGTCTACTTAGAATATTTCACCATCTTAAGAAGAACGTAAAATCCTCACCTCCATATTTCTTTTACCTGCTCCCCTTTTATGTCATCCTTATCAAACATCACACTGACACATGCTGAAAACCCCACCAGACAAGCATTAAACTGTCTCATATCTCAAAGGACTTAGGAGGAAAACTATTATATCTATCCAGATATTTATCATTTCAGTTGCTCTTATTTCACTCCTTAAGTTCCAGATTCCCTCTGGTATCATTTCTCTTCTACCCAAAGAACTTTCTTTCACATTTCTGTTAGAACAACTAGCTCCCTTCAACTTAAAATGTCTTTATTTTGCCTTCATTCCTGAAGGCTATTTTCACTGGAAGAGGAATTCTGAACTGATAGTTCTTTTCTTTCAGGACTTTAAAAAATTGTTCGATTTCCTTTTCAACTCCACTGTTTCCAATTAAAATCCACAGTCATTCAAACAACTGTCTTTTCATATGTTGTCATTTTTTTCCTTGGCTGCTTTCAAATGTTTTGTCTTTGGTTTTCAGCACTTTGATTTTCATGTGTCTGAGTAAGGATTTCATTGAGTTTATCCTATTTGGGATTCTGAGCTTCTTAAATCTGAAGTCTATGTCTTTTGCCAAATTTAGAGTTTTGAACCCATGTTTCTTCAAGTATTTTTTCTACACCAAGCTTTCTGATCTCTTTCTGGGAATCTGAGGATACAAACATGACCTTCTGATATTGTCCCATAGGTCCCTGGGCTCTGTGTTCAGTTTCTTTTTCCTCCTACTCTTTCTTCTCTCTGTTGCTCAAACTGGATAATTTCTAGTGATTTATTTAAATTCACTCTTTTCTTTGTCATCTCCAATCTGCTATTAAGCCCATCCAGTGAGTTTTAAAATTTTAGTTATTGTATTTTTCAGTTCAGCATTTCTTTTTGGGTCTGTTTCTCTGCTGAGACCTTCTATATTTCTATTTGCTTCAAGAACATTCACACTTACTTCTCAAAGCATGATGTTACTATCTGTTTTAGTCTTTGTCTGATAATTCCAACATCTGTGTCATCTGGGGTTGGCATTTGTTGACTACCTGGTTCCCCTGCAAGTCTTTGGGATTTTCCTGGTTCTTCCTCTGTCAAGTAATTATAGTTGATATCCCGGACATTCTGAGTATTATGTTGTGAGATGCTAAGTCTTCTTTAAATTCTATGGAGGAATGTTAATTATTTTTCTTTTAGCAGGCAACTGACCAGGTTAGGCTCTGCCTCCTGGGCCAAGTGGTGAGAGAATAGATAAATAAAAGCAATCAGGATTCTCCTCACGCTTTGGTCAGAGATTCAGGCAGCTGTGCTGCCACTGCTGCAGCCACAGGATTGCCTAGGGGCTAGGGTGGGGGAAAAGGAAGGAAGAGGAAAAAAAACCCCAGGGGAATCCCCTAATTCTCTGTCTGTAGAATCCCATTTATGGAGCAGTAAGCTCCATAGACCAGACAGAGAAGGCTTCTTTGCACCTGCTATGTAGTTCCAGATTTCAGGCTGTCACGAAGGCCGTAACAGAAGTAAAATAAACAGGACACTCACCACCAGCTTGATGGTACTTTGAGTTCCCTAATCCACCAGGCAGAGTCCTTAGATAGCTACTCCATGCTTTTGGTCCAGGGTTTTTCATTTTATTTAGCAGGAAACAAAGGGTGGGATGTGCTTATCCCATCTCACAGGGAGCTGGAATCACACCAGAGGCTCTTAACTCCATCATACAACCGGGTTAGGGAACCACTGTACGGGTGTATGTGGATATTCTAATTAGGGATTGGTAAACCTTCTGTAAAGGGCCAGACAGTAAATATGTTTTGCTTTGTAGCCATATAGTCTTTGTTGCAACTACTCAACCTTTTTTTTTTTTTTTTAAAGATTTTGTTTATTCATTTGACAGAGAGAGACACAGTGAGAGAGGGAACACAAGCAGGGGGAGTGGCAGAGGGAGAGGCAGGCTTCCCAAGGAGCAGGGAGCCCAACGCAGGGCTCGATCATGACCTGAGCCGAAGGCAGACGCTTATCGACTGAGCCACACAGGCGCCCCTCAACCTACTCTTTCCTTTCCTTCTCTCTCTCTTTCTGTAATCTCTGTACCCAATGTGGGGCTCAAACTCATGACCCCAAGATTGAGTCACATGCACTACTAAGTTAGCCAGTTCTGCTCTAGTAGTATGAAAGCAGCCAAACAATATGTAAACAAATGGGCATGGCTATCTTGCAACAAAACTTTAAACAAACAGGTGACAGGCTAGATTTGGCCCATAGACCATGGTTTGCTGACCCCAGTTCTTCATAAATAAACTTGGCTAATGTCAAAGTTCATTTTTGGACTCTTTTCCATTCCTTAGATAGCAGAATTCTTCAAATAACTACGTAAGTTATTGCTCTGCTCTTCCATTCCTAGTCCCATTATGCAGAAGAACTATGGTGCACGTTCAATTTTGGTTCAGTTATGCTCTCTGATTCTTGAAATAGTTACTCCTCTGGAGCTAAAGTCTTAAAAACTAAAATTCAAGGAGTTTTCACTGACCTTATACCTTTCAGATATAACTGAAAATGCTACAGTTATTTCAAATAAAAATCCTTATTTACAATTTTCTTAAGGATATGTTAAAATAGAGATCTTGGGTAACAGTGTTCCAACTTGTTTTTCGAGAGGCTGACTGAAGGTGCAGAGAGACTGCTACCCTTTCACTTACCTGGTTTCCTGCCACAGAGATAGAAGGCTAGTCTGTCAGTCAGCTCATACTGTATTTCTACAAGGCGTTCTGCCAGCTCATGGTGCCCTCCTTGCCTACCAAGAGAAAACAAAGTACCATTTATATTCCTCCCCAGTCACTGGCTCTAGAATAAAAAAGTACAGAGATGGCTTCCAAAACACCTGAGCAATTTACCAAATGTGACTTCTTAGAATAATCAACCTTTTGTGTGAGGTAAACTGTCAAGGTCTACTTTGATTCCCACCTTTATAAACTGTTTTCACAATCTGAACTACCCCCTTCCTTTATTAATTTACAGAACAGAATACTTAATAAGGAAATGAAGGACTTATGGGAGAAATAAAGAATAACTTCATCTAATGAGGTAGGAAATAAAACTAATAAATGGTCTAGAGCAGAGGTTCTCAAAAACTAACTAAAGTGCTTTAAAAAACACGTAGATATCCAGGCCCCAACCTTGGGAATTCTGAATCAGTAAGGATAGGAACATCAATATTTTGAAAAAGGTCTTTCCCCTAGAGGCTCCTGATACAGCCAGTATGATTCTGGATGACAGTTTAGTAACCACTTCAAGGTCTGTAATTCAGGGAGAGACAGACCAACAGAATGCACAGCTCATACTTGTAGCTACTTTCACCTCCTTAAACTTCAATTTACGTAACAGAAAACATGAGGTTTGCCTTTCCTCATTAATGAAGTAAATACTTAAGCTGCTTGAAATCTTTTTAGTAACCAGGGATATAAATAAATTATCACATTGACAGACTATAATATACACAAGGTATACATGAGGAAACTCCAAAGTAAGTGATAATAAGTACCATGTACTGAGGGCTCTCTTCCCCTTAAAAGCTGAAGTCTAGTTTCTGCCACTTTCTCTTCCCACCATTCAAGACACTACAAGATAATCCACTGACCTACCACACATTTGATTTGAGATACATATCTTTTTTCCTCATTTTTTTAACAGCTGTGAAATCAGGAAGTATGCTACAATTGACGGTACATCATCATTAAATCGGCCGAGTTGTTCTCATTTTTAGTGGTATATGAGATAACGTGATGACCTGTACCGTCAGTGGAGTCTCAGATCCAGTAAATACTATATTCCTCAATACCTCAAGATCTTATTATTCCCAGATACACTCTGCTCTATCCAGTAAAGTCCTCTGCTGTGCTGAATATGCCCTGTCCATCTCTCCTTCCTGAACTTAAATCATGCCTTTCTTTTTCACTTAGAATGCCTTAGCTCCTCCTTCACATACCCAAATCCAACCCATTTTTCAAAGATCAACTAAAGAAGTTTCTTACTGACTTAGGCCACAAAGAAGAAACCTTACAAATGCCTTTTAAGACCAGTTATCCTTTTTGGCAATGAATTCCACATTATCTTGCCTCATTTAACTCTTTCATGCATGTATGAATCATCTCCTCCATAAGAGAAGAAATTCTGGGATGGCACAGTTTTGGCATTTCACCCATTTTATCCTCTGCAGAATAGAGTGCTTTGCAGTTGATAAAAAGTTAATCTGGAAAAAGAAGGAAAGATGAACCATCTTCTAATGTTTAAATGATATTCAAGACTAACTCATGGATTTATTTTTCCAGCATTTCACAAAGTTTTTAAACCAAGAAGAAACTTAAAAGGATTTTACGGCAAGCACTCAAACGTCTGCTACCTAAAACCTACAATTAACATTTTACTATTACTTGTTTGATTGCCTACCTATCTGTACAGATGTTTGTAAGTTCAAGCAATGACTAAACGTATTAAGAAACTGAGAAGTGGGTTTTGCAATTCTTGATACTTGCTTTGGACTCTGCCTATGGCTCAAATGCCACTGCTTTAGAAGTCATATGAAAGACTGAAAGCTAAGCACACTCGTTAAGGTTCTGCCTCCTCTGACTTTGCCAGGCTCTGAGCTCATACGGATTTGAAATGTCTTCATCTGCAAAATGATAGGATGGTAAATCCTTAACTTAAAGGGATTAAATGTTAATCATACACAATTTAGCCACCTAACAATGAATCATACCCAGCATAAATAATCCCTAACCAAGGCAGTGACAAGAATCTAGGTCTCTCACCTCGCATAATCCACAGGAGTTTTTCCACTAGAATCCTGTGTGCCTGGGTCGGCTCCATATACTGCCAATAATTCCGCCTGTAAAATCTGACCTGCTTTGGAGGCAACGTGGAGTGGGGTGTTTCCTTTTTCCTGAGAAATATTAATAAAAAGTAGACAAACAAGCAAATTAAATAAAACTAAAGCCTACACAAACACACCCCACTTAGTTTCAATTTAATATCTGAATCAATGCATGCTTTCCTCACAGGGTGAAAGAAGTTGGCTTGTGCTCCTAAAGATAACAGCCTCAAACAGGTTTCGAGATTCCCCGTCCTCACGCTTGAGTGGAGTTGCTGAAAAACACAAGCCAAAAAAATATCTGTTAAAAGTGTAAAGAATGGTATACCAGAGCTGCTGGCAGGTCATTTTAGTATACGTTATATTAGTAATAATCAATCTTCATTTAGTTCAGTAAGGTGGAAGCAGCACTTTCTCCCTCGCTGGTCACAATTACCCCTGGGCTCTAAGGTGGGGCCAGGTCTACTTTACCAATAAGGAAACAAGGGCTGGGAAGGCCGATCCACCCAGATGCATGATTTGTCTAAGTAGCACAACCAGACCTGAAGTGAGAGGCGGTATGAGAAGGTGGGTGAACAGGCTCTGAAGCCTCAAAGACCTGAAGTTCAAACCATCCACCTTCAAGTTGTGTGACCTTGTGGAAGTTCTTTAAGCAGTCGTTTGAACCTTAGTCTTCTCAGCTCTAAAATGGTGATAACAATGCCACCTATTCACAGGGTTGCTGTAGGGAGTCGATGATAGAACAAAGTGCTTAGCATGGAGCCTGGTACACAGGAAATGCTCAAAGAATACTGCTGCTGTTATTATAATCATTATTATTTGTTGTTATTATTGAACCTAGGGCTTTAGGGCTGCGAATCCCACACTGTGTAAACTACAGGGTTCTGCCTTATAAGCACACCCTCTCCACCATTCTTGGCCTTGTATACAATACTTTAACGAAGTCTTACAGGGTGGGAAAAAGGCCTGTGTATATCAAATTCTGTACCACTGCAGAGAAGCTCTTACACATGCAGAAGATGAACTTCTTTTCTTCAAGTCTAACCCAGAATTGTCCAAGATACAATAACCATTATTGTAAGAATACAGAAATCTACTCCAACATCTACATCCACACCTTATTTTTAAAATTAATGTATTTAATATTTTTAAGTTGTGGTAAAAAATCCATGCCAAGCCTTATTAATTAGCAGAAGTAAGTTATATTGTGTGTAAAGTTTAAAATTCTGATTGTGAGTGCCCATGCTCTGTGTGAACATTTACTAAGGAGCAGTGCTTTAAAAATAAAGATGCAGCTCTTTGTGCGCAGGTCTGGTTGCCTCGGGCTGTGGGAATGCCGCAGTGCCCATGGGGGCTCCTGCGGCTCCCTCCCCTACACCAGGGGAGGCCCTGGCATCCTGCGCTGTCTTTGCACAGCTTCCTGCGTGTAGGCCCCTGGTCCTCGCAGGCTGGTCCGCAGCGCCCCGAGGGTGTCTTAAGAGCCCGCCGGTGTGTTACTGTTGGATAACGCACGATTATTCTGGAAGCCTAGCTAGGGTGGTGCCCTTTCAGATTAGGCACCGATCTGGTAGCTGAAGGGCTGAAGTTTGGAATTCGCCCTCTGGGAGAGATGCTGTGGAGAGATATCTGTGATGCCTAGGTAATGGCTCCTGCCACTTGAACCTACAGGCCATGATGAGAAGTGAAGAGTTGCGTCCTTTCTCCCTGGCTACTATGGGTTTTGTTAACGCAGAGGGTATCTCCTATCTGGTGTTGGGCAGATCCTAGGAGCTTCCATCTAGCTTTGCTGCATTAACCTGTGTGAGCAGCTGTCAACTTACTGGAGGAAAGAAACTGCCCAGAAATTTTGAGATGCTTAAGTATTTTTAGATCAATTAGACTTCTTTAACATAAATACTTGTTATCAAAAGGATTCCAATAAAATATTTTAAAGCAAAAAAAAAAATAAAATAAAATAAAATAGGGCGCCTGGGTGGCTCAGTTGGTTAAGCGACTGCCTTCGGCTCAGGTCATGATCCTGGAGTCCCAGGATCGAGTCCCACATCGGGCTCCCTGCTCAGCAGGGAGTCTGCTTCTCCCTCTGACCCTCTCCCCTCTCATGTGCTCTCTCTCTCTCTCATTCTCTCTCTCAAATAAATAAAATCTTTAAAAAAAAATAAAAATAAAGATGCATATTTTTCATGGCATCTCTCAAAAACATGCAAAGGCCCACATAAAGAAAACCACCTACTCATTTTACAAGTATAATAAAGAATTCCAAGTACTACAGCTTTGAGTCATCTTGCTTCCTGAAGATCCTACTCAGTATGCAGCCCAGAAACCTAAAGAAGTCCCTCGAACTCCCTAGTCCCTTCTAGAAACAAACTCAAGGATGGTTCCTATTTCAAAGTTAAACAAAAAACTTACAGAAATATAATTTTAAAACCATTATCTGAAGAACAAAATCACTTTCTAGATACATACTTATTTTTCCTCTTTGCCCTTTTACCTCCACTAACATGAATGGCTGCCATTTGAACTAAAATTAAAGATGAAACCAATTGCAAAAAAGGCTGTTATTAATTATTTAGAGTACAGAAAGTTTTTTTTTCTTTTCTTCCTCAAGTTTTTTTTCAAACAAAACAATATACTGTTTCATCCAGCAGTTTTAGGATTTTAAAAGTGTGACCCACCTTGCTAAGGTCTTTGGCAGTCACGCTGTCATCATCCCTGCAAGGCAAGCGATGGACAAACGCTAACATCTGATACTTGGCTCTGATGAATTCCGCTTTATTAGGACTGGTTTGAGGAAAAAAAAAATGAAAAGAAAACAAAACAGTTTACTTGCAGTTCAGATGTGACATTCCCCATTCTTTAGGCTGTAAAAAGAAGAGGAAGTGACCCGTATCCCCTACTTGAAAAGAAAATGAACAATAGTGAATAAGTTCCAGTAGGAGTTTAAGACCTGAAGTCTCAAAATGTCAATTAGTCATTCTAATGGCCAGGATTGCAGAGTACTTCCTTTTTAGAGCCTCTCTCTTTTCTTTGTAATTTTCTTAATTGACCTAGCAGCCTTGTGAGGAAGCAGCGTTACATCCCATCCTACAGGTGAGGCATCAGGCAGACTGGAGCCCAGAACTGAGATTTCTGGTCTGACTGCCTCTTGTCTGAGCACCTAAGCTTAAATCTGATTACACTAACAGCCTCCAAGCTTTAGTCTCAAACTGGAGAAGCCACTGACTCGTGCTGTGCAACCATGCAAAAGAGATGGTTCTGTGCCCGGCCTTGTTCTGCATTTCTAATAGCGAAGAGCTCAATGCACAACTGGAGTGTAACCACCTCCTGTGCCGCCCTTGTGGAGGCTGGTCCAAAGTAGCTGCACTCCTTTTAGTGGGCCCCATGGGTTATGAAGAAATAAAAGTATTTATAAACATTCCACTCACTGTACTTTATCCTGTGGATTAGCTTTACGTCTTCCGCTCATAATAGAGGCTGGGTCCAGCAAAGAATGCTCCCATATAGAATTAGCACCATTATTATACAAGGTTTCAACCATCTAAAACCAAGCAGTATAAAATCATATTTTAATTTCTTTCCACAAACATTCACTGGAAATTGTAGTGACTGAACTGGGAAAACCAAGCCCTACTGCAAATATCAGCATGATGGGGATGTCCTACAAATCATTGCTTTCTGATTCTAGAATGAGAAAGATGAACCGTATATGCAGGATTCAGGTCTGACCAGAAGGATGGTTAAGTACCTAAAAGAGTTTGATTAAACTGTTCTTACAGAGCATGAAGGAAGAGCACTTTGACACTTTGGGGCAGTGTTTCCCAAGCCTGATCATTCAAATACTATTTTCAAGATTCTTAACAACGCATGTACTGTCTAGACTTTCTGCCTAAGATTTTCCTTTAAATCCACTTGCTTTTTAAAAACTTTTACTAGCAATTACAGCCTGATGTGCTAGTTAAAGTTTTCCTATAAACATTAAAATCATTTAACCATTAAAATAAATATTTGAGTATTACCTACATCTGTCTTGAGTGGTTCATGTGCCATACTTTCGGAATTGTTCTTTTAGGGTCAAGCCTGGCATTTTAAACTACTCATCTCTGGACTTTCTTCAGGCCCTATAATGAAATCTGTAAACAGAGACCTGAAAGCAGTAAACACCCACTTTCACATGTGAAGGAGCTGTTAGAAACTTCTGAGCAAAAGTTATTAATAAACCATACTTCCCAATTTCATTTCAAAGCATGACTCCTGACACAGCCCCATCTGTTTGTTTTGCATTGGTGGAGACACTGTCATATCAGAGACCCAAACCCACTTGTTTTGGCCCACTGGTTTATATAAGCAAGTTTAAGGGACATGTTGAGCAGCTGCCACAGATCTAGTAAAATATGTACTCAAGACAAAAGAAGGCGAAACACATGCTTAATTCTGACTTCCAAATAGAACTTGAAGAATGTGCACCCCAAAATAGAAGTACAGGTGACATGACATTCAACCCCAAATAAAACAAAGAGCTCACTTGACACTCAGCAGGGTGTTGGGCACTCAATCGAAACGTGTCAACCCAATTTGGTGTCTAATTGGTAACAAGAATTTCAAGAAAACTTAAATCAGATGTCTCTGAGATTTTTGAGGAGGAATCTCAGTCCATGCCAATCTCAGTCCACGTAAGGAAAATTTCCTGAGACTGCAGCTTTCAGAAACATTTATTGTGGTATATGGAAAAGACAGACTGTTTAAAAACAATTTCAGTCCAGAAAGTCAGCAGTGAAACGTTACCAAGAAATTTTAGGAATTATTTTCTATCTATAATTGAGCTTTTGGGACAAGATTTATTTGTTAGGAAGGGAAAAAATCTTAAATGAGGAATTCAGTTCTTACAGCACTAATAGGCACAGCACCTCTGTTCAGATATGATTCAAACATTTTTGTAAGATTTAAGTATAGTACAAGAAATTTTAGTTGCTAAAACTATGAATCCTAAAAGCTCAAGTTACAAACCATGAGAATTCTTACTCTTTACCTGCAGCAACGTGGGAGGCCACGGTGTGTGTTTAAGATGCCTTACTTGAGAGATGTGGCGCCCTAGGCTCCGATGGACACTGCAGCACTCGTCACATATAAAAGTCCCCCTATTTACTGATGCCCAGGAAGGATCTGGAAGGAAGAATGACATCTCAGTGGTGAGGATACCAGGTGGCTGCTATACTGCCAGATGGTCAAAGACGACTGAGGTTTGGTTTTTCAAAAAAAAAGACATTTCTGTTGTGTTAGAATGCAAGTCAACATACCAAGCTGGTGAGCCTGTCTGATGATACCACCTATCTTGGCTGATTGGGTACCACATTAATTGAAATTAAACACATGAGCTGAAGCCCTAAATAAGCAGTTGTCTCCTTTCTGGTCCAGGGCCACAGTCTGTAGCCCTAATGTGATCTACCACCTCAGATGCATGCTTCTTCATTCAACATTAGAGAAGCAAACTGAGAGGGTATGGATGAAACATTTCAAACCAATCTCCACAAACAGCAAGATAACATAGCCGTGTCAGCGAATAATCCACAAAGCATTATCTAAACTAAATGCTGAAAAGACTGCTATCCTAATCTACTGCCGTACCTCTGCATGGCTCTAGGCTTGGCAGAAAGCTGCAAGCAACACAACAACAAAACTGCTTGGCTGTGGTGGCTCAGAGGACACACTGAGGAACCTGGACTTCTCTGCTAGAAAATGTTTTATGACATCCCTTAGTCGTTTCAAATAAACTGCCGAGTCCCACCTTGCAACTGATCTGAACGAACAGAAGCTGGAGTAACAGCAGCTTCAAAGAGGCAAAGATGTAAAATAAAAGTAGTATTTGTGGTGTGTGTACAATACTTTTCCCCCCACGAAGTCCCATGGAGCTTCAGCAGACATCCTTTGAGACAAGGAATAATTCGCACTTGGTAAGCAGTGAGAATAATCCACACTGGGCAAGTAAACTGAACACATACTTCGAAATTCCAGATAAAAACAGACTTTCTACATTTCGTCAGACTCACAATGGGGTGACAATAGGTACCACTCAAGCTGCCTGGTCTAAGAGTTATATTTAGAAATTCTTCAATGTCCACAAAAATCTCTAAAATGCATGTACACCATCTTTACCATTTTTAACAGTTTATTCAAATCCTTTCCAACGATATAACGAAAAGTTCTGAGATTTCAATCAGAGACAAATCCTGGGAGTCAGAGGGTGTGGTGGTTGAGAGGGTGGCTCTGGAGACAAGCAGTCCAGGGTTGGAAACCCAACTCTGCCACTTCTAGCACAATGATCTCAGATAAGTTATTTTTTTGAGCATCCTCACCATGGATCAAATGGGAATAATAGCATACCTCAGAGTAGGGGGCATATAAAGGGTAAAGTTCTTTGCATATAGTAAGTACTCAGTAATGTCAGCTGTTATAACTTTTCTAAATTATTCTCTAAGTACCGTTCGGATATTTTCAAGGGGCCGCTGAAATTCTTGACAACTGGAAAAAGTTTTTGATTGTCAATACTTAAGACATCAACTGTTCCAGGTGAACACTATTACTATAGTGAAAAATCTCAAGTGGAGTTTTCAGGTAGTTGAGCTCAGAGAACCATCTATTTAAAATGAACCAGATTTGGGGCACCTGGGTGGCTCATTTGGTTTAGTGACCAACTCTTGATTTTGGCTCAGGTCATGATCTCAGGGTCGTGAGATCAGGCTCCACACTCAGCACGGGGTTGAGTCCACTTGGGATTCTCTCCCTCCCTGTGCGTGTGTAGGAACATGCACGGGCACACACTTGCTCTCTCTCAAAATAAAACAAAACCTTTAAAACCTAGATTCATTAAAAAAAAAAAAGTAAAATACTTGCTAAGATGTGATCATGGTTAAATGCCATGAAATAAAACAGAAACAAAATAATTCAATGAAGTATAATTCTGTACTACTGTGCTATTCTGAAACACAAGATTGAAAACATCAAGATCAAAGATCCCTGCAAAGATACATAAGAACACTGCTTTTTGTAGTTTGGTACTCATACTACTACTTAAAAAAAAAAAAAACTTTTGAAGCATAGCTTCGGTTTTCACATATCATTCAGAGGATTCACTGTGTTCCTGGAGAAAATTAAATAGGAGTAAGACACATTAAGCAAGGTTCTGAGTTACTTTAACATCATGGGTCAGAATCCCACCCATGGAAAAAATATTAGACTGTTCACAACACAGTAAAATCAAAATTGAGCTCATATGAATGATGTTGGGTGAAACCCTTCCAGTTTACCTATATGTTCTATGCTGGGGCTTCTTCCCCGGACTCCAGGAACACCACAAAAGGACTTCAGAAATGTCTGTGACCACATTAAGAAATTATGAGTTCTGTGTGAAAGAGTGACTACACGTGCATTTCCTGGGGAGAAGGCCTCAGCAGTCATCAGCACCTTTAAAGGACCCCCTACGAGAAAGAGGTAACTCTTTGGGGCTCTGCAGAAAAGGCAGCACAAATTCCTAGCTGCTCAAGTTCACACAACATTTCAAGGTAGCCTAATTATATTCAAAACAGGAAGGAAATGACTCAAGTCTCTGTAGATTAGGCATTTGAGACAACAACAAAAATGATATAATGGAAGAGAGAATGTTCTGAAATATGCACGAAATGCTGCAGAAGGGCAAGACAGTCATTAGTGCAGCAATGGTGAAGCAGTTTTCCTTTGTCCCCTACCACCTAATGAGTGAAGAATACACACATTCCAAGAGGAAGTCTGAATCTAGACTCATGTGAATCAAACACATCACAGAGTTCAACTGAAAATGAGTAAGAAAATAAGGAAGTGGAACAAATAACACTTTCAGAGAATACGATGGAGTCTCTATAACCCACACTTTCTTGAGGTCCTCTTTTTCAACTCCTCTACCCCCTTCCCCATCGCCGTGGAAACCGGTAACCCCACTTTGCACACTACACAGGCCATGAAAGAACCACACAAGGTTTGACTTATCACAGTACTATTTAAAATCGGTCTTCACTGCCACATAACAAGATGAAGTTCAGAACAGTTGCAAAAACACTAGCGTTCAATGATTGAATTATTATGGTTAATTGGGCTTTATTGTAACCAAAGAAGTCATCTTACCTTTTAATAACTTCACATTTCAAAGCAGTTTAATCCAAGCACCAAGAAAAGCAGGGAGACCTGTCAATTCAGTTTCAATTGCTAAAAGGTATCTGAACTCTAAATCTAAAAACTCTAAATCCCTTATGCAAGGGAAGAATGGTTTTTTATTTTATTTTTTTAAAGATTTTATTTATTTATTCATGAGAGACAGAGAGAGAGAGAGAGAGAGAGAGAGAGAGAGAGAGAAGCAGGCTCCCAAGGAGCAGGGAGCCCGATGCGGGACTCGATCCCAGGACCCTGGGATCATGACCTGAGCCGAAGGCAGACGCTTAACATCTGAGCCACCCAGGCGCCCGGGAAGAATGGTTTTGAGCTTTCAACGCACCCACAGGTCTATCCTGCCCGAATGCCCAAATGTGTCTATTTGCCAGTGATTTTGTTTTGTATGTTGTAATTAATGTATGATTTAGAACCTCAACTCTAGCTTTAAGAGACCGCAAAGGTTCTGTACTAAACAACGCAACACAAAAAAGAAAAAAACTTAGATGAGATGATCCTAAGAATATTCAGACTCTTCCTTACCACTGAATGTGGTTCTCCCAATTATCTCCATCGGAAAAATGAGGAAATTAAGTCTGGACCAAATGAAATCACCAGCCCAAGGTCACCCAGAAACAAAACCTAGTTGAACCCAGGCCGTTCAGATCCCAAAACTCGAGACACTCATTGCCGCCCAAGCGCTGGTTGTGTTTGCAAGACCTCAACCTTCTGGAGATTCTCCCCGGTGGAGGTAGAGTGGGAGCCGGGATCTTAGGAGCATGGAAATCATCTACAGGGGTCCCCTGGAGAGTATCGGTGGACGGAAGCGGCGAGTGCACCCACCCCAGGCAGGGCCCCCTCGCGCGGCGGGGGTCCGGGGGGCTGCGCGGGGAGCTGGGGGAACACCTGCAGCCTCAGGGGGCCGCAGCCGGGAGAACGCTCGCATTTTACTTCTGTAATTGGCCTTCCTGTGCATTGCCCAAGCCCCTTCCTGTTGGGGAAGCAGCGCCGACCCCGCAGCCTCCCCGCCCGGCCTGGGACAGAGGGACGGAGAGGGGAGGAGAGGGGATGAGAGCGGAGGGAGGGGCGAGAGGGCGGCGGCCCCCCTAAGCCCGCCCGGCTCTGACAGGCCCGGGACGCCTCCCGCCCCGAGGCCACGCCAGGTATGGGGTTCGGACGCCGGGACCCACCCGACCCGAGGGGGCGGCCCCGGGGCAGGGGTCCCTTCGAGCAGAGCTGAGGGAAGCGGGCCCGGCCGGTGCGACTCACCCGGCCCGCTGCAGTCAGCGCACACCTCGCTGCTCCGAAGCCGCTTCGACATGGCTCCAGCCTCCCACCTGCCAGGAATCAGGGTCCCCGGGACAGTGAAGGCGGCGGCGGCGGCGCTTCCGCTCTAACGGGTCCCCGCGGCGGCGCTGGCGGCGGCGCCTCTCCCCTCAGCGCCTCGCAGCCGCGGCGCAGCACGCACGCGCGGGGAGGTGCCCTTCGCCGTCGAACAGATCATGTGACCGGAAAGGGCACGCTGCCCCGCCGCCATCTTGAGTGAGGGCAGATATATGCCCCGGCATCTCCTGCCCTGCCTGTATATTTTCTTCAATTTGGGTCTCTCTCTTTGGAAGTCCCAGCACTGAGTAATACCAGGGGAAGCTGCAAAATCTCGTGGCCAGAGTTCTGCAGCCACAGGTTTCCTGAGGCAATCAATAGTCAAGTTACTTAGTGTAACTGGTCAAGTTCATTCACTTAGTCAATAAATACTTATTGAGCATTTACTGTGTTCCACATACTGTTCCAGGTGCAGAAGAAATAACAGTGAGCAAAGAAGACAAAATTTCCTGTTCTCATGGCGCTTACATTCTACTGTGGTAGATCTACAATAAAATAAGTCAAATAAGCAACGCTAGGTGTTTCTTTGGCTGCAGTTTTAGTCTCATGTGGAAAATGGAGCTGATGTATTAATCTACCTCTAGTGCAAGATTTTTTTTTTTTTTTTGGCATGTCTTGCTACATAAGAATGATTTTTTTTTTTTTTTTACATTTTTAAAGGGTTGTAAAGAAGAAAAAAGAGAAAAGGAAGCGGATGAATAATATCCGACGAAACTCAGGTATGGCCTACAGAGCTAAATATTTACTATCCGGCTAAGGACAAATAGAATAATTTACAGAAAAATGTGGTGTGCCTGCCCCATTGTAAGCACTCAATAATAGTAGCTCCCACTATTCTTGGTATTTGGTATTACTATTATTTTCTAATCATAACTTTTTGTTTTTGGGAATAAGAATAGATGACCTACAGTAACACAGGATGGTGTGAGATAAACACAATGAGATAAGTTTAATCAGTGTGAATGAGAGAAGAGATGTGACCCTAATGCTAATGAATAATTATCGTATGTATTATACGTAAACACAGCCATGATCTCCAGTCAGGAAATATTGGATGCCTATTAAGGTCCAGGAACTGTTTTGACTTTAGATACTCTGGTAAGCAGCCATTGTAGAGTTCTGCAACTCATGAATAAGAGAGATGTTCAATAAATATTGAATGATGAAGAGAAAGATTAAGTCGCATAAAGTTTTTGGAAAGATAGGAAGTTCTGGAAGAGGTCTTAGAAGCTCTGGATGTTGGTCTACCTCTCCATTTTGGTAAATGTGTGGTGTAGGAATAACTGCATAATTCCCACACATTCCACAGTGAGAGTCTCTGGGTGCCATCCTGATGCTCCTGCATCCTGTTTTGGTTCTCAGACTCACAAATCTTCTGGACTCAACACATGTGGAGAACAAATTAGGCCAGGATTCTTGAACAGCTGTTGTTGCAGGCATCTGAAAAGCTGGATGCACACAGGCCAGGGGGGGAGAGGGTATGCTTTCAGGATGCACTGAATAACTTCCCCCAGCTGTGTGGTCTAGTTGTGGACAACTGTTTGGATAGCTTAGGCTGGTGAGTAGCTGCAAGTTGACTTGGCTCTTCATTGAATCTAAAGAGCTGTAGTGTCTGAGGTTCAAACCCAAATTTGCAGAGTGTGATCAAGTCTGGGTATTATCTATTAGTCTTTTTAGCCATAATCCAAAACTCGAGTGGCTAGTTCCAAAAATAAATGACCCTGATATGTGGAAGAAACCACCATCATATGTAACTTTGAATCATAACCCGGTTTGGAGTTCAGATAGAACAGTGGTTCTCAACTGGGGATGATTTTCCTCCCCCAGGGGACATTTGGCAATGTCTGGAGATATTTTGGCCAGGGGAGTGGTATGGCATCCAGGGGATAGAAAGGCCAGAGATGCTCAACATCCTACAAAGCACAGGACAATCCCCACAGAAAGAAAATTACTGAGTTTACAATGTGCCGATGTTGAGAAACCCTGAGGAAGAACAACTCCCTCGTTATGCAAATCTTCAGTGCCACTTCTCCAGAGTTTTTAATATTCCCTCTTTAAAATTGTTCCGTGTTGCCCACTTCCAAAATGGCTTCTGGCCGATCATGGAAGCACTGCCCAATTCCAAAAAGGCTGCAAGGGAGTCAGTAACTGGAATGGTTTGGTCCAGGCCCCAGCTGCCACCCCCTGAACTCAGAGCGGATGGAAGAGGCCCAGTTGTGGACTGAACCATGTGAAATCGCTGGAGCAGGGGGAAGGGGGCTGGTGACGGAGAGGCCGAGTTTTCCGTGTCCAGATCCTGAGCTAAGGGAGAGAAATTTAGCTCTGTTTTGGGACTGCACTGTGTTTCCGGGTGTGTAGTTGGGGGTGGGTGCGATCCGGCCAACTCCGGGCCGCGTGGCTGGCCTCGTCTTCCCCCACCGCGGCGTGCACGGTGGTTCGCCCCGCGCACTTCCCGGTTTGGGGCAGTTCGGCCCGCAGAAGTCGGTTTGGGAGCTGTCAGCGCGGGCGGGAGCGCCGCGGGGCGCGGGGTGGGCGCGGCCGACCCCGTCCCCGACCCGGCCCGCGACCCCCGACCTCCCGCGCGCCCCACACCCGGCCCGTAGGCCGCCTCGCCGTGTACCGCGCGCCTCACTCTTTCTCTCTCTCTTTCTCGCGCCGGCCGCCGGGCGGGCGGGCAGGCGCCGGAGACCCCGCCGGGGCTGAGGCTTGGCAAGCGGGCGGTGAGGGCCCGGCTGCGGCCTTCCCGCCATGTCCTCGGCCCGCGACAACAGCGGCCACTTCCCCTTGCACCTCCTGGTCTGGAACAACGACTACCGGCAGCTGGAGAAGGAGCTGCGGGGCCAGGTGAGGGGCGGGGCGGGGGTCCGCCGGCGGCGAGGGACCGGGGGGGGGGCGGATCGGGAGGTCGCTTTGTCCCCCTGAGTCCATCTCCAACCTTCTGCCTTCGGGGCCCCGCAGACCCCTTCAATTCTGCAGCCGTGGAACAATAATAATAAGAGGACATGTATCGGAGTGCTTACTGGGTGCCAGGCCCTGTGCCGAGCGTTTTATGAACATTATCTTTTTGACTTTCCAACAATACTAGGAGATAGGCACTGTTATTATTACATTGGCCAGAGAAGGAAACTGAGGCTCTCAGAGGTTATGTGCCTTGCGCAAGGTCGCCCCCCTGATAAATACGAAGTCGGGATTTTAACTATGGCCGGCTGGCTCCGGAGGGCACTGTTTTAACCAGTTTGGCTCTACTGCCTCTCCCAAAGAGGTGAGAACAGCACACACCGCTCACCCCACCCGCCCTTTTTGTAAGGAAGGGCTTGGTTGGGTTTGGAGTCCAGGTTCTAACTCGCCCTGTGACCTTGGGCAAGGCATTTTTCCCTTTCTGGCCCAGGGAGGCTGATACATACCAAAGTTTGAGAGTCACGGGTGCACATGATCCTTAAAATCCCTTCCTATCCTCGAATGCTTTCCTTGTCTTTTATTTATTGCTATCTCTTTAAAGCAGTGGTTCTCAGGTGGAGGTGATTTTTGACACACACCTCCCCACCCCCAATGGTAATGCATGGAGATAGTTTCGGTCGTTACCCGTGCGGAATGGGGGCTGCTGGGATCTTAGCGGTAGAGGCTAGGGATGCTACTCACCATCCTACAGTGCACAAGACAGCTCTCCACAACTGAGAATTATCTGGTCCAAAATGTCAGTAATGTTATGCTTGAGAAACCTTGCTTTTAAAGGCATCTCAACAATTCTGGGAATTATTGGTGCCCCCGACTTACAAGCTAATATACTTAGCAGTTAGGATAAGGATTTGTAATTATTTGGTGTAATTCTTGTTGACTTTGAAATCCTTATTTTTGAATGGCTCAAAATTGATGCTATCATTGTCAAGAAATTTTAGAGAAAAAGGAGCACTTTTGGTTGGCAAAAATTGAGCAAGGTCAGCATCACCCGGTTTGGTGAATGGTTACTGCTAGGTGAGTGTGTTCTTGCACCCTGCTATATTTTTAAAAAAATCTGTTGAGCACTTGCTGGAAGTCAAGAGTTGCTCTTTTTTCATTTAAATCCTCTGTCCAGACAGAATAAACTTTTATTGTGAGAGTCATTGGTCTTAATTAGATCATGCCCCCAGAGTAGATGATTCACCATTAGGTGTCCCAGTATACCTGGTGATTTCATTCCCTTTCTGTTCCTAGATGTGGTGCAGAGGGAATCCTCCATCATTTTGCTCTCAGCTCTAAGTGTTCTCACCTTGGACACTTGAAAAACGACCAGACAATCCTGCTGTGTTGTGCATCTGCACTTCCTCAGTATCGGTGCTGCCCCAGCTTCTTGTGAAATACCGAGATAAAGTACAAAGAAAGTCACAGAACTAAACTCCCTTTTGATAGAGAAGTTCATCGCCATCATTAAGCCACATACTCTTTCAATACTGATTTCTGAAAACAGCAGGCTTTCTATTCATTGGAGGTGAAGAAAAGAGCTTGAATGAAGTGTAGTTTTTCTTTATAGAAAATCTGAAATGTGGCATAGTTGAATTCTCTCCTTTTCCTGTAGGCTGTAATTCATTGAAAGTTCTCTGTGCCCCTTACCTTGAAAAATGTTAAGGACATTCGTGATCAGAGAATTATAATTCTGCAGCAGATTTTTCTGGAGTAAATTAGATCCTTCACACTTTATACTGTCAAGGCGGGGGGTCAAAGCAAGGATATGCATACTTGCTAATTATTTGGTTTTGACTTTGTTATTGTTTATCCCCGTAGATTATTTCATAGTATACCAGTCCTCTCTGAGTAAGAGGTAGTTGAAGCCGATTCATAAAGAACATCTTTACCGTGAAAGCTTGACTGTCATGACCACATAATCTAATCTCAATCCTGAAACTTGGCCATTGAAGGGGTAGAGATGGGGCTGGCTTCAAGGGCGTGCTACGTGTGCTCAGAAGGGGTATGCTCTGCTGTCACCATCTTGAAATTCTTTTTTTTTTTTAAGATTGTTTATTTGAGAGAGAGAGAGAGAGAGCAAGACAGCGTGGGAGGGGGGCGGAGGGAGAGAGAGAGAATCTTGAGCAGACTCCCTGCTGAGCGTGGAGCCCGACTCCCATCTCACCACCCTGAGATCTGACCTGAGCCGAAATCAAGAGTTGGAGCCTTAACCAACTGAGCCACCCAGGCGGCCCCACGTCTTGAAATTCTTTATTATTTTTTTTGAACAAGGAGCCTTGCATTTTCCTTTTTCACTGCGCCCTGCAAATTATGTAACTGGTTCAGGGTTAGGAAGTTATTCATTGATATCATTAAAATATGTGGCAGGAAATATTTTGTTGCTTTCATATTTGTCAAGATCCTCTTGATTATGAAACAACTACGGACTTCTGTGACTTGGAGGGAGTTGGGTTAATGGCCAGTACTAATACTGGTAACGTGAGCTTGGGCAAGTTATTTACCCTTGCTGAACTGTTTTATCATCTGTAAAAATAGGGAGAGTAGCACTGAAAGTCTACCATACATTTGTCAGGCATTGTGCTGAAATGTTTTCTGTGCAATTTTAGATTTAATTCTCACACTGCCTTGGAGTGAATGCTTTCATGATTCCCATTTTACAGATAAGGAAACCAGATAAGGTGGAGAGGCTCAGTTGCCTGCTTAGCCTGTGGCTGAACCAGGGTGTGAACCCAGAAAGTCGGACTCTGTCTTAATGCTGTATTCTTAACCCTTGCATTCTGCTTTCCGTAAGAGTCCCTCCAGTTCAGAATCGTGGAAAATAAGGCAGAGAACAGATGTGGAAGCGCGGCACATAGTAAGTGAGAGTAATCCCATTTATCATCGTTGCTGCTGTGATTATGATAATCTTCCTGGGCATTCAGTTTCTTTTATGTATGCCCCAGTTTTTCTGCAAGGAACGTGTCCTGGCTGCATAGTTAAAAACAAAAAATTTCTATCACCCCAGCAATACAACCAGCTGTTTCACTTAGCGTTTTGTTTGCCAGTGAGCTTCTGCTCTCTGTTCCTTCCTTCCTCCCATCCCACGAGTGAGCCTCGAAGCAGGCACACCGGTAGCTGTAAGGATTGTATTTTGTTCTGGCAACAACAGCACAGAAGGAATCAGGTTTATCCAGATGAAGAGGGTAGGCGCGTTTCCGAGTGTGTGTGAGTCAGCCCCCACCCCAAGGTCTTGCTGAGAGCTGGAGTGTGGAGTTTGCCAGCTCTGCAGTTGTTTCAAGCTTTCCATGTTGGCTCAGCAGAGACGCTTTATTAAGTGCCTCTTAACGCATCAGCTCTACTGTCTTTAATATTCAGTGGGGCCTTGAAGTCGGTGCAGTGGAAATGATTTTGTGTCACGTTTGTATTGTCTGTCATTTAGCTAGAGAGGTCTGTTAAACATCCCTGGCGTTCTTACGGTTGCTGGGAGAGTGAGTGAACACTTAAGGGGACATAGGCAAAGGTCATTCAGTGCACCTTAGTTGGGGGGAGACCCAGGACCGAGTAGGGTGGAAGGTGGCAGATGAGGCCTGACTTGAGGGCCAGGCCCCAGTGAGGAAGCCAGCGGGTGAGAGTGTACCATCAGGCAAAGAGGAAGAGGGTGTTCTAGGCGGCAGCAGTCCTCAGAGCTTGACGGGGAGCTACCCTGGGGTTGTCGCCCCAGTCTGCAGCAGGCCAAGTGGGGCACTGGGCACACATTCAGGTTGGTGCCTGTTGGCTGGAGGCCTTCCAGGAGCCAGGGGCCAAGCATCCAAGATGAAGAGCTAGGGCCTGCTCTCACGTGCTCCCCTTTGGCCCTCGGGGGCTCAGGCTCACTTGAAGGAACTATGCCTATGGATACCATTTCCCGCCTGACTTGGCAGGGGTGGGGGGGGCGGGTTTGGGCCACAGCTGCAGAGGACCAGGGCAGCCTGAGATGCACAGGAATTAGGGTGGACTTCTGGAGAGAATGGAAGGCCAGTTAACAGCCTCTTGCTGGAGGCCCCCCCCCACCCCCCGCCAGAGGTAACAGTGATGGTTGATGAAGGACTTACATTGTGTTGGGTTTGGAGGCACAGAAGGGTTGGTTAATGCACCTGAGGCTAGTCAGGGGCCTGGACGTGGGCCTGTTGTCTGGCTCTGCAGCCTGCACTCAAAGTTTGGCCTTTTACTGCCTCGGGAGGGCAGCAAGATGAAAACAAGGCTTTGAGCAAGCAAAGTCAGTGGGCTTAAATTAGCAATTAGGATGGGGACATGCAGAAATCTCACTGCTTTTTTTCTTTGGGGGCACTATTATAGTTTGAAGGGGTGGGTGTTTTTAATTTGGTATAGTTCATGACTGAAGAAACATAAAGGAAAAACTGAAATGATCAGTTTCCAATGTGAATTCCAGTTTAATTCTGAACGCTCTTGCTCACTGAACTAATGTCATTGGTTAGAGACCCTAAGCCCCACTATAAACTGTAATGAAATCTGAACAGATCCCTTTTAGGAAGAAACTGACCGCTTATATGCACTCCATAATGTGGATGTATGATAATAAGAGCTCTTTCTTCTTAGTGCTTCTTTTTTTTTTTAATAATTTTTTGTTATGTTAATCACCATACATTACATCATTAGTTTTTGATGTAGTGTTCCATGATTCATTGTTTGTGCATAACACCCAGTGCTCCACGCAGAATGTGCCCTCTTTAATACCCATCACCAGGCTACCCCCCCCCCCCCCCCCCTCCCCTCTAGAACCCTCAGTTTGTTTTTCAGAGTCCATCGTCATCTTCTTAGTGCTTCTTAACAGGGTTAGTATTATGCCTTTACGCTTGTAAGAACTCTGTAAGGTCAGTGTTTTTTATTCCCAGTTTACAAGGGAGCAGACTGAAGCTCTGGAGAAA